GCAGCAGAAGACATTGTGTATTACTGGAAGAGGCGATTATACAGAAAACAAAGATATTTTGAAGAAATGTAGTTTGGCGCTATCTTGGAGATTGACGGTGTCTGCACAGTCACGAGTTTGGTCCGATCTTTCCACCTACTTCTCGAAAGGTGTACATAAACCCTAGTAAATCAGCTGAAGTGGTTTCTTAAATATAATTAGCATCTCCAAACAAACGATTTACATCTCATACCACCCTTCTGGGGCACGGGTAGGTAACTGTGCCTGCACCATTCAAGGCGAAAGACGGGAAGAGATGAACCTTTAAAAAAGTAAAAAGGACGTGCTAATTTTAGTGCTAGAAAGAAACGAGAAATCGAAGGAATGAACGGATGCGTGAACATCAGTATCTCATTCAAATAGGTTTAGAAGCCGGTCACGAATGTGTGCACAAAATGAAGCAAAAGGTGATGTGGAGAGTCATAGGGGCAAATGATTGAAGAGCCTTCTTGCTAAGGTAAAAGAGAGCGACTAAGCATCTTCGGCTCTTCGTCATGTTTGCCTTCAAGCAAACAAAGGATCAGAGAATTCTTGACTTATCAAAGCGGATCCTTCTTATAATCATGTAATTAGAGGCAATTGTGACAATAGCTAGTCAATGTGGCTTCCACTACCAAAAGTATGTTCACTGTGGGGAGCGTCTTCGAGCACACTCTGAAATGCTTCCTCTTTTGTCCCACAACGGAACACAAACTGAAAGCGGAGAAGACAACCTCCCAAGTCTCCAAATCGTCGGTGATTTTGCTATGGCAAGAAAAAGGTATAATTATCACTTGGGGCAACACGAGGTAAGCGTGGTGGATGAGGATGGAATTGTCTCCTCATTCCAGTGCGCCATCAGGAGATAAATTTTCCATCACTCATTTACTACTAATGGGGTTATCTAAAGAGGGGATTTCTTTTGCATCCACCTCCAAGTTTTATCCCACTCACAAAGAAACAACTTTCTGTCACAACTTTCATACACACATACACGAACACACTAACCGACCGTGGATTTCTTTCGTCCCCTGACGTTGATGGGTGAAATTTGCCATCTGCTAGGGTAGTTTTTTTACAAAGGAACATAGTTAGATTTCGAAGCTAAAAAAAAGGAAACGAAAAAAGGTATATACTTGTCATACTAATTCTCCACTTGTCATGAACCATCGGCAACGTTGAGAAGGTTATGGTGAAACAACCAAATATTGCTTTAGGTGGAAATCATACATGGAGAACTGTGACCGCTTTCGCCCTTTGAGCCCTTCAGGCGGTAGCCCCTTTCATTGCTTCTTCCTCTCGCCTTAAAGAAAGAAACCATCCATTGGGCAAGCATGGTATTTGGAGAGAGCATGATAACATCACTTATTTCCGTTTATTTAGGTTGTCGGAACGTTTGCGCTAGTCAATTAAGTGAATTTCATAATATCTCTTAGTAGCGCTTCACCTCATTGACTTTTAAATGGGAGGACCTTGAGAAATACATACTGTTGTTTGCCTGCAGGCATTCTGAAGTGCTCACAATCAACCTTCGTAATTCTTATACTATACCTGATCCCCGGCTTACATGGTGCAATACTAGTGTAATACTTATGTTATTTTAATGTACCTTTCAAGGAGGAGGCAAGCAGGAAATTCGAATCTCTTGACCGGATCGTCCTCTCCCTTACTTAGTGACTGCGGCTCCCTCCTTCTTGAACATTGTATTTTCCTTCTCCATCTTGTCACCTTTAATAAAGATGTTCAGAGCGAATCAACCGGGCTTGTCTAGAAACGCTAGGAATAGGGAAGCGGAGACCGATGAGTTTCGCTTCACACTAGTTTTGCAATAATCACTATCGCATACAGTAAATCAAAATTTGACTTGGGGGAAAAGATTATGGAAACTAAGGCTGGGGAAATGCGTGCCTGCAGCTGGTATATTTTAGTAATAAGAAGTAAAAAGATTGGCATAAATGAATGGCAAATGCTGATATTCAGAAATCAAATACCGCACCAGCAATGAAATGCATTTATCACAATAAATGCTTGCCTCGAAGCAAGCACATCTGTGCAGCTAGAATCAGTGCTCTTGAACCGTGGATAAATAAATCAAACAATGTGCCCTTTTAAAATTCTTCGGCAATAATGATGTAAAATCATTTTATCTGAAATATCAAATTTGTTGGGAATGACCGACTGGCGCGCCGATTTTTCAAACGCAAGCTATTTTATTGGCTTGTTGCGCCTTCTCGAGGTAGCTGTGTGGACATTCCTATGTCGGATAGCCTGTGCACTTTAAATTCTTACCTGTGTTTATAACATAATGGCTACCTCAATAATCAAGCTGCACACATTCTCAGGTGCTGGTGATAGCTACCCGCCATGTTTTATACTCCAAGTTGATGATTTTTACTGCCTGCTCGATTGCGGGTGGTCGGAAAATCTACCAAGGTCTCGCATCGCCGAGGTGGGCAAATGGGCGAAGAGGATTGGCGCAGTTCTAATCAGTCATCCAAGCATGAGGCATCTAGGTCTCCTTCCTATCCTCGTTGGAAAATACGGCCTAAAATGTCCTGTTTATTCTACCACACCAGTTTTCAGGCTTGGTCAACTCTTTTGTTACGATGAGTTTCAATCGCGGTTTCTATGTGAGGACTTTTCACTCTTCTCTCTGGATGACGTTGATGACGCTTTTGAACTGTTTGTTCAGGTCAAATACTCACAGACAATTAATCTCCAAGGCAAGGGTCGTGGACTTAGTGTCACGCCACTACCTTCCGGTAATCTTTTCTGAGCTAATAATACTGTAGGTCATATGTTGGGTGGTACTATTTGGAAAGCGGTTAAAGATGAGACGGATATCATCTATGCAATAGACTTTAACAATGAAAAGAGTCGTCATCTGAACGGGGCCGCCTTTGACGCTTGCATTCGTCCGCGATTGCTCATTATTGATGTCTCAAATGCGCTATACACTCATGTGAGCTCAGCTACTGTCATAATCGCTAAATTGTAGGTCGGACGTAAAGATCGCAACGAGGCCTTGCGCCAGTTGCTCCTTAAGACGCTGCGTCGCGGTGGGAATGTTTTAGTCGCTGTAGACACTGCGGGGTACTGCTTGGAGATTGCATATATGCTGGAGAGTCTTTGGCACAGTCCAGTAGGGTCTTTTATCCCTTCTCCCCCGCTGACGCGCCTCATTCTAGGAGTCGGGATTCATGGCCTACGGATTGGCGATGCTCTCACACGTGGGATATAGTGTCTTCGATTTCACCAAATCTCTGGTCGAGTGGATGTCAGAAAGGATTTTGCGATCATTTGAGGATCAACGTTGCAATCCGTTTCATTTGAGACATATGCAACTCTGCCACACGGCTGATCAACTGGACTGTGTATCTAACCCAAGGGTGAGTTCTCTGTTTCCCTGTCAACATTTGCGACATTTTGTTATTGAATATAGGAGAAATTTCCGGTAAAAACTGAGGCTACTTTTATTTATTACCGTGCAATTGCGGATTGTTCCACTCTTTGTTATCCCCGAGTCAGGTTTTCAATCCCCAAACGAATCTGTGCAGGACTTATAATTTAACAATCTTTATCAAACTATGTTTTTGAACATTCCTCTTCCAATTTGTTGCTAGTAATGGACTGTTATGGTGTTCCACTCATCACCGGGCCGGGTGAATTGTTTTTTGGATCGTTTAGTAAACATGCCATCAAATGAAATTGGCGGATCGCATTTATTTGCGTACATGTATAGTTAAACTGTTGGAAGTTCCAAATGAATAAACCGTTGCTTATCAAAGTTCTAGTTTATCTGTTTTATGAACTAGCTTTAACATGATTTTAAGGCTGCAGAAACTTCTAATGGCATTTGTTCTACGGCGCTTAGAAGTGTGAGGGCAGAATGTACGACTTAGTACCTACTTCATTCTAGTGATGTGCTACTTAAAGGCATATGCATCACGTTTAGGAAGAGCTTCCATTCTTGGTATTCTTGGCACGCCATTTCGAGATTACTATATCGGCCATTTTAGTAATGAAATAATCGGTTTATGCTCTCTACTGGGAAGGGAAGCGGTGGCAGGAGCTGCTAAGCGCTTGGACGCTGTGTGCATCAGCAGGTGCCATTAGGCTTGTGAGGTCATCAGTTTGTTCTCCACTGCCTGTATGAGCCTTACTAAAACGCACCTTTTTCAATTTGTTTGCTGAATGACTAGCTGAGTAAGTCGTGATGAGAATTGGCTTCTGTGCTTTTGTATTGTAAAGTTGGATTAGACGGGCGTAACATTGGTTATCATCGAACGGTCCACTCTATATGTGGTGCACTGTAGATGGAATCGTTCACTTGGTGAAGGGTCAGTGGCTACACTTGAGACTTTTTCACTTGATGCGTTGCAACATTAACGTGCGTAAGTGATTACCATATTTTCTCGGCACTACATAATCGCATGCGGAATAGTCGGTTGGGAAATAAGTGTGATGGAAATGGAGGTGAATAGGGCTCTTTTTTCCTGGATTCTAGGGCCAACACTTTTTGTACAAGTGGACTTGGCAGTCAGTTCTTGTCTTATAAAGAATGGCTAGCAAATTATTATCGCATTGATACTGGCGAAAGTGATTTGAGAGACTTTCTGCAGTCGCTCAATCTTTATTTCGAGAGCCTCACAAAATTCTTTGGTTACGCCATAGTTGTGAGTGACTAAATATTTGATTACTCCTTTATACCAGAATATAATTTTGTCACATCGAGATCGCCTTATCCTTAAACAAGTGAAGTGCTAAAATCACCTTGGATTTAGATCGAGCCAAAACGCGTTGTTACCCTCTGGGCATTATTTCAATGATATAGTTGCCGGTGACTTCATCTTCACGTCTTTACTTTTCCCAATTTTGCAGTGTATTCTTCCTTCCTTCTCCTGATTTTGACTTACTGGTTGTTGGCCTGGTTCGGCGCCGTAGTCATTCCTCTGCGTCTCATCATCCTAGTGACGCGATGGATTTAACTGATATTTTTTAGCAATTAACCCACACTGCCCTTTTTTCGCTACCTACTAGCGAAAAACCTTTTGCATCGCCCCGTTGCTTACTGGCTATTTTTGTTCGCCACGGTTGCTTGGAACATCTTCATTTAGGTCGATTTGGTAGGTTAGTTGGATTTCGTGTACTATTTTTACTATTCCACGAATCCTGGGATTTTTTCATCAACTTTTCCTCCCTCCATCTCTCGCTGATCTTCTATGGAACCGTTGGTTACCTTAGCCCCTCTTATGCATTGCACAGTTAAACTTGTTTCACAATTAGGACTCTTTTCACAGCGTAGTATTTGGTTGTGAGTTTTCCTCGTATCTTCATCACTCGAAACATTCTTTCATTTTCTTCTTGTTTTGTTTTATTCGGATTGGACAGTCTGCCACTTTTTATGCGTTAATACGTAGTAAGTAGCCGAGAGCCTAGCTACTCTTTCTCCCTTATTTAGCTACTTGACGGCTTCCTCCCATACTGTAATCCGTTTTTCATTGTCAGACGATGCGTGTATTCACACAGCTAGAAAAGGTGTTGGATTATAAGTAAAGTTTGCTCGGTCAAACCATACACGAGTTCTACAAGGGTACGATTAGCGGTTGAGGGCCTGGCTATACACGGATTAACGTAGCCCTGACTCAACCCCCCCTTTTCCATAGCTAAGTGACACTTTTCTCATTAACATCTGTCCAATTTTCAAACGTCTGGTTAAAATATCCCTATAAACTATCTGATTAGGAAATTTAGTGCTAAATGCTCCAAATTCGTACCATAAATGTTAGTCCATAAGGAATCCTGATTCCAGTCAATTTTAACGGCCATTTGCTTTTTTAGCGTCATTGTCAAAGTGGTGATCGTATGAATCCACCTAATTTCCCAATTTCCATCCCACAACCCTTTTATTCTACCTGATGGCACACCTTCATTCAGCTGAAGAGACGAATCGTAATAAATATAGTGGTTAGTTAGTTTGGCAATTAAAGGCAAAAGTGAACGCCTACTTGTTTACTCATATTGTCGGAGGACAGTAATTATAACTATTCGATTCCATCCAATTTCCCGGAATTTCAGGTTATCTTGGCCACTGACGCCGGTCTGCGAACTGGGTTTTCTCGCCTCCTCTTTGTCGACTGGGCTGACAACGAATTGAACACTGTGGTGATCACCTCCAGGGACGGCGACTTTCGTGAAGCAAAGGATCTTTCTCTCCTTCTTCAGCAGCAGCAACCAAATCAACCGGATGTGTCCTTGGCCCGGCGTCTCATCGGTCTGAGTCGGGGGGAGGAATGGGCACATGAAGGGCTTGCCACCGCGGCCGCCGACACCCTCCTCATCCCCTTTGACTTCTCCCAACGCGTGCTTGTCTCCGAGGAGAGCGATACAGGAGAGGGAGAAGGGGAAAAAGGGAACTCTGAGGCGGGTGCAGGACGGTCCTCCGTGGTGGAGACGACCTTGGTGCATTCAAAGGGCACCGATGCCGGAGCAGGTAACCAGTTCCGGAACTGTAAGTGTTAAAACTAAATCTAGATTTTGATAGCATTGGTGCCAGTGGCTTGTTTATGTTGTCTTGATGATGAACTGGCGAAGGGTTCAGCTTTTTAGCTGTTTGATTGGTCTCATTGATCGTTGTATTCTCGGATAAAACAACCTCTTATCTCGTAAGTTTGCCAGTGAAAAGACTTGATTAGATGGTTCCTCGTGAATATTCAGTTTCAAGTCTGTACTCTTTAATGATTTACGAGGAGTATTCAAGTTAAAAGGGGGCTTTTAATTGCAAAGGCCTGATACAGTGGTGGCATTGCACAGTGGCAAGTGCCAAGTGTGCACTACTCGTTACAGCCGGAGCACTTGTCGTGAAGCGGTTCAGACACCGCTAATTAAGATGGAAAGCCTCAGCACCAGTGAACAGAGGCGTTAAACCACATCTGTGGATAGATGCCAAGGTCATCAAATTCACCACGCTGTTGGAACGCTCATCCACTTAGCAGCCGGGCATCTGAATGGTGTACGCCTATCAGTTACGATCTAGATCTTGACGGCTTCAAGTCCACTGTTGTGGTACTAGCCCACGTGAACACTCAGGGCACAGGATGCCTGATCCTGCCGTGAACATGCCCAAGTGACAAAGCTTTTTTACTAACGATGAACACGATTAAATGTTTGTAGTTTTGAATAGCTACGATACAACGGGTACCAACATTGATGAAGAAGTGAAGTAGGAAGTTTTGTGCGGCATGTTTTAACAGTATTAACTGATCTTTCTGTGTTGAGGATTACCAGATAGCAATTGAACGCTTGAATAGGTGAATAGATGTAGTGGAAGACGTTTTGCACATATGCTACTTCCCTTCCCTCCCGTCAGTTGGTAACTCGGATGTTTTTGACGCGATTGACGACCTCGATAACAACGAAGATGACACCGAGAACGATGGTGACGAAGTCGGCACTGGTCAGGCACATGCTTCCTCTGCCACGTCTGGTGGTGGCACTGGCGGAAGTGTTTTCTTCAACCAACCCTATAGTCTCCTCCCAAGCAGTAATGGAACGCTCACTCACGGTCGTCACATGGCCTGCTATGACATCTTCCCGGGTGCCCAAGTCCACTCTGGGGGACAATTTTTTCGCTCCACCAAGCGGACCCAACCCGTCTTTCCTACCACTGAGCGGGTTGTACGTTCTCTGCTCCCCTACAATATTTCGCAAACTCGTATTTCCGTCCTACTTAGTGTCGGTGTCTTCATCGTGGTAGGTTCAATGGGACGAGTACGGGGAGAAAATCGATACGAACGTCTACCGTATGTCCGCCGAGGTTGGTGGGCCTGACGGCGTCAAGAAACGACATCAGAGTTCAGCCACTTCTGGTGGTGGTAGAAGTAAGTAATTTCACTGCCATCTTCCCCCTTTCTGGCTACTCCATTATTGCTTCATTCCACCTGGGACTTTTTGGCCGATGTGAGCGTGTCATGTTTGCTGTTGCCTTACATTGTCAAATGTGAGTCCCTACCTGAAGTCGGTAACCGAGGCTTGGGCGACCTAGAGCTTGGATAGATGAAATATTCAGTGAGACGGCGTAGGATAGTAAAAGACGACGTCTTGCTGCTTTCATATTTCTCTTCCATGATGTTTCTTTCTGATTGTTGCTTTTCTGTCCAATTTCGTAGTGGCTTTTTGATTACTGGGACGATATGTCAGCTTCACTGGTGTTTCTTGGTCATAAATGAAAGTGCAACTACTGATGGATCATAATTAAGGTGAACGAAGTATTTGGTGAGGCTGGAGGGAGACCAATGAACTGAAAGTGGGCCAAAACTTGAGCTGATTGGAAGAATCAGGCATTGTTTGACATGGCTGTTGTTTTCAACACCACGGGACCACCTCAAGTAGCACCTCCACATAATGAGATTTTACTCTCGAAAGCACAGAGTCATCGAGTGTCGACCGGGTTCAAGACTAAGGTTAGGTGTTGATGGGTATTTGAGAGGAAAGGTTAACCACCCAAAGTGGTGGCATAGGTCGGTTTGATTACTATTTCCATCAACAGTGGATTACTAAACCTTTCGATGGAGTGCATTCAGTTCCTTAAGAAGTGTGGATAAGAGATTCCAATTGCACGGATGAGTCGGCTATAAGGCGATCTGAGGTGATTATGGAGATACTTTGAGCCGAAATGTGGTCAAAACCTGCGTGGGTACTATTTCTAATGACACGCTTCTATAGTGTTCTGGGCATGCCTATTGATGCTCCTTAACTTGCTCTCTTCTACGTAAAAGACAAATTACCGGTCAATGCATAAGGGAGGGACATTGTTTGTGGAGAACAAAAATCTAACATTCGAAGTTCTTCCATCTCAAACACTACCCGCCTACCTACATCGCAGGATTTTTAGAAGGTTACCGAAACTGCACTTTCCATTTTCTTTGTTTCTGCCACCGAAGACGTCGGATCGCGTGCTTTGTCCACATCCTCAAGAGTGGAAAAGACCACGTCAACGCGAGGTGAGAAGAAGTCGCGTTTCGACATCCACTCGGCCTCCTCAGATCAGCTACTGAACTTGCTGGTGCTGCAGAACATCTCCAGTAGCAGTCTCACTACCCCTGGCTTCCAGATGCCCACTAACATCGCCACAAAATGTATGACGGTGAAAATGGAGATCCCTCTGCGTTGTGATGTTAGCTTCATCGACTATGAAGTGGGTTTCTGTCTTTTTTACTTACAATCTGGATAAGTGTTACTTTTTTATAGCCTTACCAGATCACCAGATCAGGGTATAAGAATAGTGTTTGATAGCGAGAAACAAGCCTAAGTACGGGTGTGTTCCATAGGTGATCCCATCCTAGAGCTCCAACCATGTGTCACCGCGATCAGTGCGAATGTGATTTGCCATTGTTAATTGCGCACTTTTCTCTAACTCAAATGCGCTATTGATGGCATTGCGGGTTATTTAAAAAGGCTCCGACTCGGCTCAGACACATTATGTCTATTCACGTGATATCTCCCCGGTTCATTGCACCAGGCTTATTACAGTTTTAGTGCCTTGCCCTTAAAAATGAGTTGGCAACTTGCGTCTGAGGTTTATTTACAATTTGGGGCAATATTTGGTTTAAAACACACTGGCAAATGCTCTTTTGGGCCATTCAAATGCTGTCCAACATTGAGTAGCAAATAAGAACGGTGTGCTGTGCTGTTGCATGTGCAGCAAAAGTCCAAATTCGTCGTATTTACAGGGTAATGGAAGTTAAGCAATTCCAGAGATCTTTTTAAATCATTTTATCTGTGAAAATTGTCAACCATGCCATCAGGACAAAAGCTTGTGAATTCCACTCTTCTAATATTTTACCGCCTTCGTTTACATTTTTTGTTTACTTCCGAAACCTCTCTTTTATTTCGCATGTGATCATGTGATGGTCAAGCGGTTAAGCCAGGACGCGGTGATACTAAGCCCTTGGAAAAGCGACACTAAGACAAGGCGGGGATAAAGTGAGTCAGTGACGCCCTTCTATCCTCTAAGCGCGGTATGAGGTCTTCTCAGGGGTGAATTCTGCGACGGTATGGGGTGTGTTTTTTTGTCTTTCGTGGCTAAAAACAGGACTTACTAGATGGCCAGCCCTGAATGTCTCTGAGTTAAAGTTTTTCACCCTCACATGCTTGAACTGTATCGCATCGAGTGGATGAATCTCAACCGTAATTGCTAGCCTGCATCTGCACTAACTTATTTAGTCACACTTTGCCAACATGTTTATCCTTTTATAATCCACTCCTCTTGCGGTGTTGCCTTTGACATTAAAATCATTGGAGCTTTTTTTGGCAAAGTACTTCAAGGATGTATTAGTGATTTTCTATTATTCTTCGTGAACCGGAAGGCGGTAGTTTAAGCCTCTGTGCATCACTGTACGTTTTCTTTGGCCTTGCCGTTTCGTGCGCTTTGGGGCACGTTAAGGGATAGCAATGGCGAAGGGAAGTCACCGTTAAAACCGGAATTTTAAATCAGAACGGAAGGAGCCTTAATCTTGTAATTCATGAGTTAAGAGCGTCTGCTGCGGTGAGTATCCGGAAAAAGATGGTGTTTTAGTTTTGTTGCATTTACTGCACATCTATTCAAATGTTATTTCTCGGTTTCCGAAACATTCTTTGAAATAATTTTTTGTTAAGTCTCCTTGAAGACTTGTTGATATTTCTTCTGTCTCAATGTCCTGACGTCATCGCGAGGCCCTCTCCTTTTAGCGTGAACCAAGACTGGTTGAAACTTTTACGTCAATGTCTATTCTTTGCATTGGTCAAATTGCACTTGTTTCTTATGTGATAAACACCACCGATGGTGGCGCTGGTGGAAGAAAAACGGCTCAATACCATCCTCTCGATTTTTCCCAGTAAGCCCTCTTTGAAAGTGACCTCATAATCTTCCAGACATAGTTCGACTTTGTTTTCATGAATTCTTGGTGGAGTTGTGGTGTTAAAATGGACTCAAAGGCGTTAGTTGTTTTTTAGTAGAAAAATACCTCTCAGTTCTTTATCTACCATGCGTAGATTAAGATGAGGTAATGTTGCAAGGGAACCTCGGTTAACGGCCGAAATTTACAGCCAGTATGGAGGAGGCCTTAAAATGGAGGAATATCACGTAATAGGCGTGTGCACGCGCCATCTCGAATAGAAAGTACCTGGTTAGTTTGTCGTCATGTGCTCCTTTAGATGTTCTTCAATTTGCGGCGTTTTTTCGTTTTATAATACCACTGTCCGTGCCCTGGGCCACAGTTAGGATTCGCGAATGGGGAAAGGGCATGGGAGAAATTATAGACGACTATAGATTTCAAGAAGGTACTCATTCCTCCTTCCTTCTACAGAGTCGTTCGGATGGAAAGGCGTTGCGGAAGATCATCACTGGCCTACGACCACATGAAGTCATTTTGGTAGGTGCCACGAGGTCTGCCATCGACGCAATGGTGGAGCACTGTCGCTCTGACCTCCAACTCAAGGACGAGGTCATTCACACGCCCTCGGGATTGGATGTTGTCAACTGCACCAAGGAGGGGGATATTTATCAGGTAAACCAACTTCATCCTATCTCCCATTGCTGGCGTAGCGTATATTGGAAGTTCAATGGCATAAGTAGCACGAGCTGAGCTCTGTATCTAATTTCGTTGTAAGATATGGGAAGAAGGGCTCTTGCTCCTCTTTTTTGGACCTCGCCCTCTGCGTTACCCGTAGTCGCTACTCTTCTTCCTCCATTATAAAGTTTTTGGAGTTGTTAAAACTATCTGTCACGTCTTCTTTGCGTACTGCATTGTGAGGTTTTTCGGCGCCTGGTAAGCCAATCACTTTTGTGGGAGCTTTTTAATTGTTTCAATGTTCCCCAGCAGCTTAAGCTATTTTTGCAATGTGGAGGGCATGTCTTCAGGCTCTTCAATATTTTCGTAGGAATGACATAAATATCCTTATTGGCCGTCCTCAAATCGGTCAAGTCTAGCATTCCTTTGTTACTGGTAATTGTACAAAGTCATGCTTGGTGCATTTTCCAATGCTTGGTCAGATTTAGATAGTTCCTTTTTGTGGATCCCTATTCTACAGCGTTTTTCGTAGAATTCGGCTCGGAAGATTGGAGTTGTTTTGAAAATGAGTTTGTTTACCACTGCTGCTGATATAGTACCTGAGTCATCTATAAAGACGTGATAATTCATGTCAGAGTGTGAGAGTAGCATTATCATCGATCTTCTGAAGGACCGATAGACTATTAACTGGAATGGTGGATGACTAGAAGATTAGAAGGGGCTGCTCGATTAAACGACACATTATTCTGCTGTAATGTGGAAGGACATATGTGTGAATTTGCTTTAGATCACATCCGGATTGGCGAAAAAGGGGTAATGAGTTGGACTGCGTTGCTAGATTTCAAGAGGAAGAGGTTTAAACTAGCGCTATTGCTCCCCTTACAATAGGCACGAATGAAGGACAGCTTGGTGACGGGTCTGCGCTTCACCAAGATCCGCGAATACGAGTTGGCCTGGGTGGACGCAGACATTCTGGAGGCGGAGGAGAATGCGAACCCCACGAACGGGCTGGAGGCAGGGGCCGACGGAGAAGCCTCGCTAGTCACCATTCTCGCCTCCGATGCTTTGCCCGTTCTTGCGCCACCCTCTGGTCCTGTTGTCGACCACCCCACTGTCTTTGTAAATGAGCCGAAGCTCTCTGACGTGAGTCTTTTTTGCTAACATGGTCATTTACTCTTGATTCTTTTACTTTTTGTCACAGTAGGTGTGTGTAGGAGGAGAATTACTAACTGACTAGATTAGTGGGTGTTTTTTATGCACGAAATGCATAAAGTTTTCTATCGTGGGGTCTGCTATAATCGGATGGCAATATACATGCTTATTAGAAAACCTAGTGATCACAATGCCATCCTTCTGATCGGTGCAAGATGATGCTATCCGCCTTATCTCCCACTTTTTCTCCTCATCTCTTCCCCCTCGCCGATAGATGAAGCAACTGCTACTGAATCAGGGCCTCCAGGCAGAGTTTGTGAGCGGTGTGTTGGTAGTGGACAACTGCGTGTCCATCAAACGCACAGAGACTGGCCGAATGACCCTGGAAGGGGTGATATCGCCTACCTACTTCGTTGTTCGGGACATTCTCTATCGTCAATTCGCCATTCTCTGAGTGTGTAATTCCATTCCTCTTTGTGTACAGAAAGTGGAACCCTTTTTGAAAATAAATATGCGCCAATGAGTCGAAACTGAGTTTTCGCTATTGTGTGTGTCTGTGTGCATGTGTTTGTGTGTGTACGTGTTTTCCTGTTAACACTGTATTTTCAAGCACTGTTTCGTCTATGAAACACAATCTGGAGGTTCCCCATCTTCCTATATGGCAATTTGTGATAATTTTCTGGACGAATTTTCTATTGGTTGTTGGCTTGAGTAAAAAGTTTTCTTTTGTGAAAACTTTTAATCACGAAAGCGAATCCCTCGCCGTGTGGGGTACAGATCTGATCCGAGGCTAAATTTTCACAACTGCACCATCTTAACCACTTTCGGTGACTCGAGTTGGTAAAGCTGATCGGAGTCACTTTAGCCTCACATCTGGGTTTTGATTAATCGCTCTATGTCACAAGTCGGTCATGGTTCATGGGGCAACAATTTCATCAAACAAGGTATCACAGCATGACGGACTTCCACTTTTTTGCTTGTTCATGCAAAATTTAGCCTTTTGACTTAGCCATTTGTGAGGACCGAACATTTGCTGTCGTTTTGGTTTCCATTTAAAATAACCTACAGTTTAATCTCTTTCTCAGTTCAGCTCTACTTTGGGGAATGCCATAGCAATAAAAAGACTTAATATCATCTGTCCAACTTCGGCGGTTGTCACCGGCCACTGTGCACACAGTCTTTGGTTGAAAAACGCATTTTTATTTCCCCTCCTTGCTTCATGCCTTCCAAGTTGACCGATTTTTAGCGCAGCAAAGTACTTCAAGAGGAAGATGATTCTGCAGAAGCCTACTAATGTGGATGAAATTGTTATCTGAAATCCATTTCGGCCATTAGGGTCCATCTCTTCCGCAAAAGCTAGCCTTTCACTCTACTGTCTCGTGAATGTAGATATTCCCACGGACATTCGTCGCACCCGAAAGTGATGTTGAGTGGAAAGTCAGTGGGGAATTGTGCGGCATTTTTTCACCACTTTCTAGAAATAGGTCTCGGTTTCAAAAAATGATTAATGCGGAACTTTTCAAAATGTTCTAAAGGGGAATAAATCTACCGGTTGACACCTTGAAGAATTCCTCTGCTTTTTGGAATCCCTGAGCTTTTCATCAACTATTTTTTTTGTATCCAATGCGATATAGTAGTGGTGTTCGTGGCGATACTGTGTTCTCTCCTTGAACTCTCGAATCTTCTGGTTGAAGGGTTATGGTCACGAATAAAATCTAGTCCACCCATTTCTGATCGTTACAACACATGCAGTTTTGCTGTCTCGAAGTGTTAAGGGTAAAAGTAGCCTTCAGTTGAACAGGGTGCGCTCATGTGAGAAATTCGAGATCATCATCACGGTATAGGCTAGTTGGCTTCAAGTGAAGTGCCTCCATTTTTCGTTTGATTGGCTGAAGTTTGATTCTTTCTATTGATATTGTACTTCCTTGTGTCGATGACTCATCTGTTTGCCCAACTTTGTGATGATTGATTCTACCTGCTTTTTTAGCAGTCCAGACTCCGGGTGAGATGATGAAACCAACAGTAGACAAGGTATTGAAGGACGTCCAACTCCTCTCCAAGCGTATGCGCACGAGGGAGGCCTTCGCGGACGAGTTGTTGAACAAGGTGGGCGCGTTGCAATCCCAACTGGAGTCAATGCGAGTCGTAAGTTGGTCATTTGCTGCATTTATTCACTAAAAATAGGCAGATGCAAAGTTACGCCTTATCCATTTGTCATGGCCAGTTAGGTGAACAAGCCGATCTTGTAGACCGGTGGTAGTGACGATGCGACCGTTTTGTTGTAATGGAGGTGTCGATAAACTAAACAGCAATAACGTGAAAGCGGTGAGGGTAAGAAAGAAAAAACTGCACAAAAATTTAGCACCAACTGCTCCTAGTAATTCATGCCCTCTCCGGAGTCGAGAGAGAGTAGCAGTCTGACTAGCATTAGTCAGTGGTAGTAAACAGTCGGCTTTTCCGCGATCTTGGAAGCGGCTTGGATAAACTGTGACGCTATTAGCAGGTTCCTCTTGTGAAGTTGGGGCTTCATTTTTTGGCTCCCAATCTCCAGGGCACAGACAACGCGTCACCTGGATATTCGTTATTGCTTGTGCCTCTTGAAGACGGTTATTTCAACAGATGAACGGGTTTTGCTTCATCTCTTCGTCTCACTTAAATCCTCTTCGAGGGAGGCCTTGCATAAGCGCTTTTGCGAAACACACTCCAAGAGTAATTGCCCCCAAAAGGTCGTTCGGCAAAGCATTATAAAATAGCTCTCTTTCATTAGGCTATCCTCCTCAGATTGCGACGATAAAAACTAGGTTGTCTGACCTGCCGTTCTGCTCAACGCTCAGGGTTTGTTTGGTTTTTAGAGTCTGACGATTTAGGTACATTAGTGGTAGGTCTACTATCGCATCCAACACATTGCTGAAGAACCTCGTCAAGTTGAAATCACTATGGGGCAGTACTTCTCGTAGGGCTTCGTCCATATGTTCAACTCCTTTGGTTGAGGGTAAACTGAGTAACCGAAATTATGATCGTTCAGACGCGAGCCACCTAAAGACTTCAACTTAGGCAAGACACTGCGTGACCATGCTTGATGCATCAGAATGACTACCACAATTCGAGGACATCAAGCTGGATCAAATTGTAAATCCTCCATGAAGCATCTTATCATTGAGTGGAGTATCAGTTCCTTGGAGGCTTAGCTTTGGTGCTGGTAAAGTATCGGTCAATATCGTATCAGAGCAGCTGCTCAAGAAGGTGATGGTATCGGTCTGGCCGAGTGGACCACGAATAGAAACTGATGTTATTCGAGCAAATGGGACTTCATGGGTAGAAAGGTGCTACGTCAAAGGCAGTCTGTGGGGGAAATGCCCTCCTGACTGGGTCTGCATAATTTTGGGCAGTTGCGATGTAGGTGGCCGAAGTACATTCCCGGGTATAATGGACTTTTCTCCCCCTTCCAAATCTTGAATTTTCTTCAGCATCCTATTCTTTATAACCGCAATACGTTTAAAGTATCAAGTTCTAACTTCAGCCTTTGTATCCTGATTTAAGTTAGCTTCAGCTCGTTTTCTAGTTGTATTTTCGACATCTTGGTGGCAGAAAGGGTGGACTTGCAACTTCTTTCAACTTCAGAATGCAAACATGGGGAAAGCAAAGTCATCATTTAGTGGACTGACTATTGAACCATCTGGTGATTTGGCTAACTTTGAAGATCTTATGGCTCAGACCTGGTTTATGTGCTGGACAGGAGAATGACAGAGGTGTGATGGACGAGAAATTTAAGGAGGAAAATGCATTTATTGCATTTGTCGTGATTAGCTGGATGTGCAAGTGCCTCTTCTGGAGTAGGTAACAAAAGTAATTTGAACAAGCGTAGCAAGAAAAAACTAGGGAAAGGGAAATGAATGGTGGATGGTGTGTGGTTCTTCTGATGTCAGTCTTCGGAAATTTAGAAGGTGTAGTCCTTTCATTGACGTTCTTACTCCTTCAATGCATCAGTGACATTCAAACTGTGGCGGACATGTGCTTGAGGTAATTCTGTCAATGTAACAGGTGGGGGTCTGAAAGTATTTTACCTAAGGACGCCCCGAAGGGCTGGGAAGCAAAGATTCTTGCTACTAGTTCGGAAGCTGATTCGGTCCGCATATTCTTGTATGACAAGTAAATCGATGTCCTCCTTCTTCGTCTGTCAGAAAGGACTTTCGAATTCAAGGGTGCGTGCACTTGTCAAAGATTCTGATAAATTTGTCCACCTTCAAGACGTTGCCTAACCATCCATCAGAATTAACCCCTGCTTTTTGCAAAGCGGGACCACTGTCCATCAGGCACTACTTCCACTTAGATATTGTTGTCATGCTTTGGTGATTTTGGTTTGCCTAAATTAGGACTGTCATCATGACTACTCATTGTGCGGAATACAAAATTGAGATAATTGTCAAGGGTGGACACGATTTGCGTACACTGTGTATTGTGTTTCTGCAACCTCGGACGTTCGACTTACCCAACTTTCTTTTGTTGCGTTTTGGTGTATCATTTCCTCGGTAAAACCAAAACTTCCATTCTTTTGAGAGGGACCCGACAACCCCTTTGCTGATGTGACATCTGGGCTCTCTATAAAGGCGTTGTGAAGCTTATGAGGCTGGAAATAGCTTTATCACAGACAAATCAGCGGTGTTGTGGGGCTGTTATCGGAGCACCTGGGCACCGCCTCAAGCTAGTCCGTGTTAGTTGTACATCTAATCCTATTTCGGGAAGATGGAATGTAGACAATTACACATATTGGACAAGAAGATGCAAAAGACGGTGTGTGTGAAAATGGGTCATATGTTCTATTCATACTACTGATAACAACTGTTTGGTCCTTTTATAATCTAAGTATCTTCTTTCCATTTAGGGAAAATCTACAGGTTCGCTGACCATAGTGCAAAAAAAAACACTTGTATCTTTATCGTCCTAGTTTACCTAAAGATATAGCATGATTAGTCCAGCCAAAAAGGTGATGACGGCGCATATTTTGCATCCCAGCGCCGCTGGTTTCGTACACTTGTTGTATCGAAATGAATTGTGTAAAGAGATAATGCATTTTGTGCCTAATTCGTGTCAAATCAAAGTGGCGAGGACAATTTTGCTCTCTGGAGATTATTGCAGAACGCAGGCAAACAAAAGACTTCACGCAGACGAAGAGCTTGGGATAAGGATCTTTACTGTCCTTAGCCTGGAGCGCCACTTGGCCTGCAGCGGGTGTCGCCTCTCTAGGCGTATGCGAGGAGCCCCTACTCTTGCGTAGCTACCTTTCCTCAAGCGCCCCTGAAGGTGAGGGAGGACGAGGTGCGCATGTTTAGAGAGCGTTGCTGGAAATGGCGCACGAAAAGTGGGGATTTAAATTTCCAGATCGAGAACTTTTAGAGCCATAAATTGGGAACCTCTTCTGGGGTGTGTAAACGTCTTCAGCAGAAAATAAATAGTATTTCTTAAGTGAAAATTTGGTTCACCTACATGGCATTTAGTTAGGTTTGAATTACTCTTTGAAATTGCGGTTTTTCAGCGTCACTAGGCTGTTAGAAGGCAGGCAAGTCATTTGCAGAGCAATTTCGCCCTCCCTTTATTCTTACGGACGAACTTGCTACTTATGTGGTCTCAAGCAATATTGAAGTGCGGTATCATTCAGTAGTGGTACGTTACTTACGGTGGTACGTAGAAGCTATACTTATTTATCTGTGGTGAGCTGAGCATCCTTGAGTTTTATGCGAGCATTGTTGCATTAACGAGCAGCACTTTCACAAGTAACGAGGAAGCTTTTCTGTCCGGAACATAGGCCGCACACGCTACTTCACTGCCCTTTTAGCGCCTTCCTCCTCTTTCCTGTAATCTGTAAGACTTAAAATAGGCGTGTTACAGTGTTTTTTATGTAACCTGAACGAATTGAGGCCTTATTTTAGACCTGTTGGTGTTCGAAATTTGATGCCTTCTTGTTTTTTGAATACTTTTACTGAATTGTACTGCCATTTTGTCGTTTTCACCATCTATCCATGACACATTCGTTGGGTAGATTAATTTCGTTTCCTCAGTGCATTTTTCATTTTATCAGGTGGAGAAATAGCTCTAAGAATTGGGTAGCACATTCTACCTCTTGGTGAATCTTTTGTATCCGAACTATCCCTGGTAACGTCCAGGTTGTTGTGGATTTTCTGTAAGACTAGAAGTACAGTTAGGGCGGTGGCGGAGGTCTAGCTGCAATAATTTAGACAAATGTTGCCAGAATACAATCACGTGGCATCTTTAAATCGCTTCGCACCTCGCTTATTGCCGTGTCTTTAACTCCGATGAGTTTCGAAATGATTACATTTTACAGATTGGGTCATGAAATCGAGCTTAGATTGCTGCATTAAACTCCCATTCAGTGGAATAAATATGGGGGAACTCTCTCGTTATTTTCTTGATAGCAATTGATTAAGGGCAAATACAGCCTGTATGGAGTATCTCCTGCTGGTGCTGACTTGTGTAAACTCTGTCTGAGAATCTCTCCTCTTACCTCTACGTCTTCCGTCTTCCTACCTAATGTTCTTTTTAGCCCAGAATTTTTATGGCTCGAACGAACGAATTCGGAGCGTCTATGCTAATTTGGTGGCAATTTTGAGGTTTGGATTCCAACTCTTTTTAACTCTGAATTAGTACGGACTAAATAAGTGTGATCTTGCCTCGATACTGTTGGGAGATCCTTGTATGCTTTTTTTCACTTTGCAGTTCCAAGAAGAGACATTGGAGTATGAGGACATTGCGAAACGGGCGGAGAAGAACCCTCGGAAGCAGCTGATCCTCTGTCTGGCTGCGGAAAACAAGCAGCTGGAGCAATTAAAAATGCAGAATCGCACTCTGGAGACATCTCTTGAGGAGCACGAACTCACTCTGGAGATGATCATGTCCAAGTACCGTGAACAGGTGTGTAGATTACTACTCCGTTTATCTAGTTAAGGATAGCTTCGGTCGGGCGAATTCAGGGATGTCTCTCTGGATAGGCAGCTCCTCCTTCCTCAAGCTTGTTTTGCCACTAACGAAGTCAAAAGTAGCCTACAGTTCTTTTTCCCTCTCTTTCCGACTTACCAGCTGTTCTCGGTGCTGTTTTCACTTTTCTGCATTCAAACTCTCTTGAATTTCGGGATCATGGTTCCGAATTCGAGTCTTGCCTTAAGTTTGTGCCTAATGGAGAGAAGTTTAGCCTCTTTTATCGTCTTGTTTTTTTGATTCATTTAAGGACCAGTCATTGATATTTATTCTCCCCCTGCTTCCGACTAGTTCTTCAATGATAAACCTGCTATGGCCCTCATTCCAAGTTTGTCGGGAATCAGAAAAAACTTTTCTCAATCCCTTTTACCGTTTAACTAGTTATGACCTGCAGATGCCATGATGGTATAAGAATTGCTTGCTACCCTGATTTACACCTAGAAGAGATAAATTTAAATTTTAATTTCTCCTCGGAATCTGGAAGAAGTGAATAACCCTATTTTTATTTCTCCGCCAATTAAATTTGATTTTCCTACTCTTTTGCCCAATTTTACTTTGGAAATTACTTTTGTAAATTTGGATTGTCTTACTTGATGCTAGGGTCCTCTCGGAGTTTAAACCATTGTAGAACGGCGAGCTATCTAGATGTTTTCCTAATTTTAAAGTTAGTGGTGTGAATTCAGGATCCATATTTACGTGCCTAAAAATGGAAAATCTAGTGATTTTGGCCGTTTAAAACACCGAAGGGTACTACTCAGCCTCTTCCGATATATCCGATTTTACCAAACATCCCTATTGTTGACTTATCATGTCCACTGGATCATGAAAGTTAAATTAAGGTTTAAATTCCAACCTTGCGCAAAAGTGGACCTCTCAAGATTAGTGCTTAATGTTCACCTCGCAGATCTCCAATCTGATGCGGACAAACGAGACCGAGAGACGGATGGATCATCGTAACGTCAGTAGCAACGGCGTTGCCTCACAGACTGACGGTGAACGAAATCAAGTAGACGCGGATACATTAGGGACACCAGTAGCCACAGACGAACGACTAGCAGTGATGGCAGCTATCGCGAAGGAGGTGGCGGAGCAGTCAGAGGCTTACTCCGCCGAGCTGGAGGCGGAACTGCATCGACTGAATGCGGAGAATCAGGCACTTCGGGAACTGCTTGCCATTGAAACTGCCAACTCCGTTTCCTCCTCCCCCGCTGGCGCTGGCGTCAGTACTGTCAATTCCAACACCGCAATATCCTCCACGACTGCAAGGGAGACGAATGGAAGTGCTACATCGAAGCCTGGGGAGGAGTGGGCTGGTGTACCAATTGTCTTCAAGTGATGTGCTGAAGGATGTTTTATTTCTCTTTCTCAGTGTGTTTATCTCTACTTCTATGGAACTGTACTCTTTTACAATGTATTTAGCATGTGAGGTTCGCTCTGGGTCGTGGGGGTGATCGGCAAGGTTGGGGCGTTAGTCTTCTGTGTGTGGCACCTAACAGCGGCAGGGGGATGTTTGGGTCTCGTGGTGCGTTCCTCTGGGGTCTGATGCTTGATCATCCTGGCTGGAAGGGCATGGGTTTGGTAGCTTCACTCCCTCATTGAATATTTCGGTTGGTAATTATCGTGGAGTGAGAACATTTTACACTTTATAACAATGTGCCAAGGCAATATTTTAGTCAACAGGAATAAAAAAAATATTATTTGTTTATATCTACCGATTTTTTTTGCACCTTATGAAGCCGGTATTCGACCAATAGGCTTCTGGTGCATGGTGTGTTTGCTGTTGCGAATATTTATGCTACCGGTGTATTGTCTTTTATTAAATATGGGTGCCTACTCATTTAACATATTTATTTGAATAATGAGATGACACTGGGAATTTAGTATTACTTGAGTGGTTTCCTTTCTAATTAGTTTTATCTGTTGTCAATTTAAGAAGCATGAGGACCTTAAAACAACTCATTATTCTTACCTAGTTTTATCGAGAAATGTGGCTACCATTTAACTGTTGTGACGGCGATAGGCAGTCCTGAGAGTTTTGGGGTGTCGCGCTGCTCAGTAATGGTAGCAATAGGCTCTGTGAGTCTTGCATCAAGGCGGCAGTCGGAGTTCCAATTGTTAGATTTATGCTCTACCCATCTTAACTGTTTAAGGTAAACTCTGACGATCTGTGAACTAGAAATGGGGTAATATTTTGGACGCACAATGGTGCGGATCTTCTGAGCGAGTGCCCACTGTTCACTTTTCAATTTCTGGTGAGATTACAGCTTCTTTCTATTCAAAATTCTAAACCACAAGTGGGGGGCATTGTTTGATATTTTTATTCCACCTAAATTTGTATCTTAGTGTTAACTTTTTTGGGTGGTTTGAAGAACCTTTTGATCCCTGAGGCACGTTTTCTCTAGTTACACTTCTTTTTTGACTCGTTTAAAAACTTGATGATTGCATATCATCCATCTCGCTATCGCAATTTGTTCTAGCAGAAATTTTTGTTGTATTTGTTTTGTGGTTTAATATTTGCAACCTTAAAGCTCTTTGCTCAATGTGGAATGGAGATTTTCTACCCCGCATCTTGCTTTAATGCTACAAATATTGCCGAGTGATTACTAACCATTTCTCGACTGCTTTATGTGGTAGTCTAATAATCAACTTTGTCATTACCTTTATTTAAAGAGGTGTTAAAGCTCGATGGGTCTAAGTTATTGTCAGATTTATCAAAGTTATGAGATAATAGAAGTCTTTGCGATGAAGGTCATCGGTATTTACACTTTATATTCATCTTCTGTAATGGTATTCAGGATTGGTAAGTTTTTATAACAAGAGTGAGGTCGGTATCGTGCTATTGCAACTCAATAAGGAGATTCTTTTCTACACAATAATTTTCATCCCATTCCTCCTAACCATTCTGAATTTGATTCCTTATGACGATAGACAGAGTGATACATTCACTTGGCTTACTCATTCTGCTAAAATTGGGAGACTTCTTGTTAGTTAATCTGCCACACATTTTCTAAGTTGAGAGCGCTGAATGATGGTTTTCCATCCCCTCATACCAGTCCGACCCCGATTTTCCCAGCCTTGCTCGTCTCACCGACGCTGTTCGAGATAATACATCTTCCCCTATCCCTTCCGAGACGCGACCCTCGGGCGTCTCTTTAACCCATCTCTCCACCGCCTTTGCCGCCGGGTTCGCTCTAGGTGCAGTGGTAGGTCTGCTCAGTGCAGATGCGCTTTTTTCCTCCCACCGCCTTCGTAGTCGAAATCGCAACGATCATCTGGAAGAGCAGGTTGAGATAATTCGACGTGATCTGGATCAACTGCGCTCCGTTGGGCGCCCTAGTCCCGTAGGTTTTTGATGGAGTTACGATGGAACTATTTAACCGCCAATTTTTCTGTGTAGGTCGCCTTCGAAGTTTATGTAGATGATGACGAGGGTGCCGGGGAAGACGATGATGAATTCTTCGACGTGACTAGTGGAATGAGTGGGTGAGCTTTCTTGTTCATTATCGGTATCTGCTGAGTTATCTCTCTAAAAACATTATGAGGCATACCAATTTGGAAGTAGGATTTATTATTGACACACAGAAGAGTCAAATAACGGCTATCGTGGCTTTACGCTACCAAACTGATTGCCAAATCCGGAAGAACTGTCAGATGTGCACGTTGCTATACTTTCGACTGAACAAGCGTGGTTATGCTACGTAGTTTCGTCATGGAGTAGAGATTTTCGACCTCAACTATAGTTAATCAGCTTACGAGGAAAGGGTTGGCCCAAGGCAAACCGCGCTGTAAAGAGGTCTTACTTAATTGTGTTCCTCACCACCTCATCTTTTCAACAATTGTACCACTAATTCTACTTAACCGCTTATCTTGATTCACCTTGACTTCCTGTAAAGTCTAGAGGCATCATATCGTTAGATGATTCAGTGTTTTGGTGCAGTTATCGTAAACGATTCTATCAAGGGAAAAACGAATGAAGATGGAGTGGGATAGCATTCTTCTCTTTCTCCCCCTACTTTCTATCCTCAAGTCCAATCTGAGGTCGTATTACGGGTCACTTTCGTGGAGGTATGAGGTCTTGTCCCTTATTGTCCTGCAATACAGAATATGGCTTTCTTCCCATGGGTTAACCATTCAAGTGTGGTTCCTAAGACCTCTAAGAAAGGCGGAAACACATTTTAAGGGGCAGAAATTTCACCAATTTTTTTTGACACAGACCTCCATCACTGTATTTATTCACTTCTCTCAGTGTTTGAATGCTACCCACAAAGCTTCGGTATGGATGGATTGTATCAGGGCGGCCTGTTTGCTTCATATTGTCATCGGTATCATGAGATGATCATTGTGCGATGGCATTTTGAACTGGTAGAATCTCGTGAGTGCTTGTGTGCGCAGTTTGTGTGTGAAGAATGTTTTTTTGTGTGATTTCATCACACGACAAGCCGTCGGTTTGGGCGTTGATCAGATGACTGACTGGCTAGCCATTTGGCTGCCTGGGCGAGTGAGAGAAATCTACGAATTATGCGTACCGTTGACCATGCTTGAATGGTTAATAGGATTCATGTACTGTACCGGGGAATGGATGAAGGGCTGAGTGGCAGAGCCTACGAACATCCAAGCGTGGCGTGGTCTGGTGTGCGTATTACGCTTGGGGTCAGTTGTGGGTACAATTAGGTAACTGGGGCTGCAAACAAAAAAGTGTGGGTTGGGAAGATCTTTTACCGCCACAGGTTGTTGTATGGAGGTCATGGGTGGAATAACTTGCGTGTCGTCCGAATGAGGATGTCTGCAGTGGATTAGTCGAGGCAGATTTGCGTTGGCTGTCAGTGTGTAATGGTACTGTCACCACACCGTGGTTTTTATACGTGGGTTTCGTGAGTAGGTGGAGGATTAAATTGTTGTTTTGACTTAAACGCTTCTTGTGTCACCCCTGTGACTGATAGTATAACTTTTACTTCATTTTAGCGAAATGAGTTCCGAAATCTCTGCCCGCTTCTCTTCCACCATGTCGCTTTTCTCTGTGCCACCGCCGCCAGATCAACCGCTTCCCTGTGCAGTGGCGGAGGAGTTGGACGCGTTGGCGGCTGCCGTTCGTCTCGCCAGTTCCTCTTCGGCCGTTGATGCGGCTAATCGAGCTTTCAATCGCTGTTTGGAATACAAAAAGCAGGTGGGCTCTCTTCCCATCCTCCCTTCACTATACGTTAAAGTGGAGCCACTAATTGGATCTGTTTTTGTCTTAGGACATGATGTATACCATTTTTGTCCACATTCTTCTTGCAGTACAAACAATACCCGGGCTTCCTCTGGCGTTTTGCTCGCGCTTCTCATCTCATGTGGATGACATCGACGCTAGTGGGCCATACCGCGGGCTCCAGCAGCAATAGCGCCGGTGATGGTAATTTGGCAGACAACCACTGGATTGATGCGGGTCTGTCGATAGCGCGCAGCGCCGTGCGTCAGGTGGAAGCAGCGAATGCGGTGGTAGAGCAGGAGGCGGTGGGCGATGCCGCTCGCTCCTACCAATGGCTTGCCATCTTTTTGGGTCTCTCCGCCACCTCTTCTTCCACTCCTGTCTCCCAGCGCATCCAATTGGGCTATGAATTCTTGGTAATTAGTGGCATTTTGATTCAATTTATTTACTGTGGGCCATTTAGACTAGGGGCTTCATCACGTTAGCAACCTCCTGTGACTTGCAAAATGCAGATGCTTAAATGCATGCATGCTCTGTGGATGAAAAATTGTAACCCCATTGGTATGTTACTGCTCACTGTGCCCTCCACTATTTTCCTCTTCTTTCCAATCCACGCTGTATGGGGTAAGTGCTGGCTGGACGTAACGGATGTGATTGGAGTGCGTCTGCTTTACCAGCTCATTTAGGGAGAGTGTAGTGTGCGGTAGCAGAAGGCACTATTGAGAAACATTTCAAGTACTTATTTTATTTTTTTTGTTGGTGAAACACTCAAAGATGCAGCGTATTCGGGAGAACCTTCCATATTTTGGTATTGAGATGCTTCACGTTGCGATTGGTTAAGACCACTGGGTGAGTGATGGCTAAGGTGAGTGGTGAAACAAGTTGCTTGCAGCTGCGTTAGCTTGCAAGGGAAAGTCGTGAAGCTGCTAGGCAAATGAATCTCACCCACCTGTTGCGACAGATATGTTGCCGATTCGTGCTTTACCCCCTTCGCATGCTTTACAGATTGTTGACCGACAGACCGAATAATTTGTGATGAGAAATGGCTTTTCTGTTGGAAAGTTTGTCATGTAAATGACCATATTACTGGTTATCTTCAAGCAGTTCGCTCCATACTCACCTCACACTTCTAATGCACGCAGTGCTTCATTCGCAGAAGACCATTTCCTTTGTGCCTGCCGCCCTGCAGATGCAACTGCTCACTTTCGGAAGGCCAAACGGCAATCGCAGCTGAAGTTTGTCGACGCGATACAGCTATAAGGTATGCAAGAAAGGCTTCGTCTTGATGTGGAGTCAAGATTAGTGTATCCGTGAGAATGAAGCCTAGATGAGGCCTTAAACCCCCACAATATCGGTCCATGAAATGTCCTCACACCGCACTTAAGGGCAGAAAGTGGAGCGGGAGAGAAAGGGGGAATACTGCTTCACCTCATTTTCCCCCCTTTTTCCTCCATTTGCTTGAGCATATTTCTCTAAACCTAAAGTGATTTTCGCTTTTTCTTGGCATCATTATTAGACAATCACATGATAAAAGGTGGGATTCGCAGGTATGTGTTTCGTTGGAAAAGGATTGGATAACAGATTTTGATGACGAATGAATGGAAAGCGCAGAAATTTGTTTGGTCAGCTTCTATCTGAAGACTTCGTTAGGCTCACGAATTTAGAATTAGCTTTATTAAATCTGTATGAAAGGGTTGGGAATCGAGCAGCGTAAGTCGTTTGAACCGAGTCTTCTGTCATTTCTGTGGAGGCTGAAGCAGAGGTGACTCTCAGGGGCTCGCGTCTTTTTTCACTAAGGAGCACTACCTTGCCTATTGCTTAACCAGAGGCCATTGCGACTGTATTTGGAGGGATAGCCTTGACTTTTCGGATAATGTTTTCCCTATCATTTGATGGCTGTCGCAGTGAATAATTTGCCTCATGAAGTATCGTTAATGCGCTCTGCCTTGGCACCACTGCAGTGTGGAAACCTAAAAAGGATCACGGTGTTGGGTTGGTGTGGATAAGTGAACATTCAAATTCATCTATCTGCATGGAAAGGAAGCATGAATTATCAGCAATGTTTTGCCTTTGAAATGTGAGGTAGGGATTATTAACTTGATCAGGGAGTCATGTCTTTCCCTGTATTTTTTATGCGTACAATCGCTACTTATGATTTTCAAGCATTTTAAGGCTTTGTCATTACCACTCATTGGGGCTTATCATTCGCCACAAATTTCTTCCTGACTGGTCAAGTTATTCAAAGGGGTGTCATCTTGTTAATCTCCTCGGGAAGGTGTTATTTGTGTATGCTTCCCGCAAGGCAGGCAGTCCAGAGGGAGTAGGCCACCTACATGCAAAAATGTAGGAATTGATGAACCGTGCACATGTAAAGTCCCATGCGAATTGTTCCCGAAGCTTGCGATTTTTGTTAACTCATCGTTGGTTGCTTACCTCCCTTTATCGACTATCAGTCGTCAGAGGAGGAAGTATTTTGAAGTACTCAGCTATTTCCTTTACTTAATACCTGCGTTGAAAGTGAAAACACCTCTCTCTTCTCCTTCTATAATTTTATAAAGGAAAGGATTACTTCCTCCTTTGTGTTCGTAATCCTACTTCAATAACTACTAAAGCTTCAAATTTTAGTAGTGGAAGTTCTTTTGTGCCCAGCCGCACCTTGCTTTGTTTGAATCCAAAACTTAACTGCTGTTGTGCATTAATTTGCTGTAGAAGAACATCAACACCGCGATTGAATTGGATCCAAACCATGCCTACTGCCACATCCTGAAGGGTCGCTGGTGCTTTGAAGTGAGTTTCAGTCTGTTTCACCACTCTTGTTATTTGGGAACTAGCAGCACTTTTACCATCGGGATCTCGGCTCCATTCATGAGCCAAAAGAGTCTGATTATTCTCAGACCAAACGTCTTTTCTGCAGCACAATTTTGTGCAACCACAGTTATTTTTATTTAATAAAGAGCTTATGTCACATATACGTGACGCTGGTGGCGAAAGTGTTGAGTGCCTTAGTGTAGAGTTAGGTGCGAATACATTTTCATAAATACAACAAAAGGGCAAAACTATATGACCCCTAAGATGACCAACTAGTCTTGCTTTTGTCATCCGAGAGCTCTCTTGTAGACGTTAGCTAGTCCTTAACGGAAGAGATGCGTTGTAACACGATCATGCAAGCTTCCGACCACCCTTCATTCGATAATTGGTTAGATTTCTTTATGTCTTATCGATTAGTTGTGCGTTGACCCTAAGGTCACTTGTTTTTTTCCAATCATCATTGGTAGTGCTCCTAAACGCGCAATAAAGATCAAGTACTCGAGTTAAACTCCAAAATACGAAGTTATCGCCACACATTATCAGAAAACCTTCTTCTTTTTTTGAGATCTCTCCAATACCCGCACATAAAAGCGTTTTTTTGTTTCTTTTCCATTCAGTTGTTCTTGAAGGCTTATGAATATAGCTTGCCAGAGTCGACATAGTAGGCGAGAATAAGATGTGAATCCCTGTTGTCCGGTAACGCTGGTAGGGATGAAGTAAAATCGGACTTTTGAAGCGGCGAAAGACTGCAGAAAGAAACACATTTCAAAGATAGAAAACTCCATCCAGCTGCTGTATTTACTCACTTTTCTCGATGTTTTAATGGTATCCGCAGAACTTTGATATGGATGAATTGCGTTAAGATGGCCTACTTGCTTCATATTGTCATCGGTGTCATGTGGTAGTCAGTGTGTGGATGGCATTTTGAGATGGTAGAAGCTCGTGGATGACTGTGTGCTCAGTTCGCATGGGGAGAATGATTTCTTGTGTGACTTTATCACACGACACATTGTCACCTTGTGTGTGGTGATCAAGTGACCGATTGATTGACTACCTGGCTGGATGGTTGGCTGGCTAGCCAACTGGCTCTGTGGATGGCTGGACGGGTGAGGGGTGGAAATGGATAATGCGTACTGGAGGGCGTGTTTGAAAGGTTGACAGGATCCGAATGTCATTCTCCTAAGTGAATTAGTGATTTACCATCAAAAATAGCCATTTGAAATATTTTAGATGGTATTTTCTGCCATCGCATGCTAGACCTTCTCTAACTAACATAACACACTGTACAAGATGCTTCTACAGCTTTACGGCCGAGTTAAGCGGGTCTTGTAAAGCAAATACACTGCGATCACATTCATCGCGTCCAAACAACCAGCACTTTATCATACGAGAGGTGGACCGAAATGAAGAGGAAAGCAGTAGAAGGCACGAGGAGGAGTAGCATATCTTTTCACCCGCGCTCTATGGCACATGCATTCAAGAAAATGCACTTGACAAGTCACTGGAAGTTGTGTGGAGTCAGTGGGGAAGACTGTATGGAAAACCGTACGTGTATTCTTCGTTTTGGTCATTTGTCGGTCCTCCACCCCCATCCTCTGGCTACAAATTGTGTCCGACTTAGATGAAACGTTCAAAGTAGAATAGGCAAGGCAGACATTTGGATGATATTGGAATTCGACTTAATGAGATCCGATTTCCGTTCTCGACCGGTTTTGATTTGAACATTTTCACAAAGTCTTTTGCATGGGTCCAGCTTCACCGGCCCAATTCTTGAAAATCCTGCATTGAAAGTGATATTGGGGAAGGTGTCAAGTTCTATACAACCAGGGAAAGTCATACGATGAGTTAATGGAAATAGATACTTCAACTATTTAATCATCTGAATGGTTTACACTTGATGACGTGCCTATGTTGAGACCAGAAAATGTGGTGGAATTGGAGAAATGGCCTTTATTTTTGCTAATTACTGACACTTTAAAGCACTCTATGGAACGAAGAAGTCGTAGATTGCCTTACCTTTATTGAAATTAATGATAAAAGCGAGGACTCCAAACTACCCTAACACCTTCAGCATTCGAGTAGTCCCTAAACTTGGTTCATATTTTCCATTTCTCTGTCATGATTCAGCCAAAGTGACACCCCCCGAGTTCATTTCCCCAAGTGTTGACACTCCTAGGGTGTGTGGCACTGGGTTGGAGTGAAAGGGCGAAGGAGATGAAGACGTTGGCGAAAGTGTAGCAAGAACTCTCAAAGTCTTTCTAGACTAATCTCAAGGTTAAAAATGATAACTACCACTGCCTTCAAGGTTTACAATCTCTCCTGGCTTGAGCGTCAATTCGCCTCGCGTCTCTTCGCGGCTCCACCCACAGCCACCCTTGAGGAAGCCATGGCTGAGTTCCTGGAGGTACGCACTCTTTCATTTCCATGTAGCATCACTCCTACTTATTGCATCTTGGCGGAGGTAAGCCACTCGGATAACAAGTCTATAATGCCACTTTGAGTTCGTTGTGTGAGTGCTCTTGTTTTATTTTTCATTAAAAAACGTCACCGCAATGATGAGTGATTTCGGCAATTCTTGGTTTTGTCAATAAATTTGCTATCAGAGCACCGAATTGTGCATTACAAACAGACTTGATGGTTTTAAACCCTCCAAGTAGCCATTAAAACTGATCGCTTCAATAGAGTAAGTGTTGATGTCATGCTGGAACCATGAAACACCTCCGGGCTCCATCGGTTAAGCTTTCCCTGAAAGCCCGGTAGCGAATGTGTGAGTCCTTCATCTCTCACTAGAAGTGGGAAGATTAGCACTTTAGATTGTGATTTAAAAATATCCACTTGACAGGCGCCAGAACTACTCGTGCGGCATGTGACTTAAATACTAGGAAGTAAGTTTCGCCCCTTTTGTCATCATTTCTGAACTATGATGTACCAAAAATTACTCCTGGAAAACCTTGTTACAAGATGGTATTCAAAGACGGGCATGATGACCACGAAAAATGGTAAAATGTCAGAGAGTTGTTAAAATCCGACGTTTTTTGTCTTGGGTTCTGAAATTTGTCTCATTTTTTCCTTAATTAGTAGGCAGAGGGGCTGGGAGTATGGAGAAGCTCGAACGCTTAAAGCAAATGCATCTACACAGCCGTTGTGTCAAGTGTTTGCAAGACGTATTTGCAATGGATTTTTTCTCGCTGTAACGCATATTCACCACGAATTCTCCTCGTCTTGTATCTACTTCATCAAGCGGGATAAAATGCAAACTCGCGATAGTGGTGATCCGCCTTCGTGAAGTATCGCATCAATCAAAATCCTAGTGGTTTAGGGCTAAGGGCCTATCATTGGGATTTGGCCAGGATACTATCTGTCTTACTAGTCCTTCATTACATCATTCGGGACCGGGCTCGGAACATAAAGTACGTAATGGCGTGCAAATTGGTTTTGTTTTTAATAGGCCGAACGTCTGGAGCCCAATCGTTGGGCAATAAACTCCATCTTCTTGGCCAAATGCGAGTATGCAGGGTCGCACTACGCTGAGGCGATGAGATGGCTGGAGACGGCTGAAAATCTTCTTCGTTGTGAAGATTGCAGCAACGAAAGCGATCATGATGCTGAAAGTGAAGATAGCGAGGAGGAGAGAGCACTGACGACGTCAAGTATCGGAGACGCAGTGGTGGAAAGACCAGCACTACTGGCGGAGATCCAGGCGTTGAAACCGCGTTATCGTGCCTATCTGCCCAGTTAATGATCCTTCGCCATTCCCCTTAAATGGATGTAGTTTTGCTGTTAGGGTTTTTGGCATAATTGATGCAAGGGATTGCTTGCGCTTTCCAACCCCCAACTATCAGGCTATGCTCTTCGTAGTTTTTTTTTTTTTCGCATTTATATGAAAATATATCCGGTTTAGAGTCGTGAAGGATGACATTCTTTTGATTTGTATGAATGTTTTCAAGTGGATCGTTTAAGAGCTTCCGGAGTGGCTTTACTCTTTAGCAGTGGGGGTTTGCTAAGAGTTAGATCCTGATTAGGTTGTTGTCTTGTTAAACTGTTTTAACTATGGTTAACATCCGGTAGGAAAGACCCATTGTTAAGTGCCAGTGTGGTTGTTAGTGGTTGTTCCAGAGAAGGGATGGCAAATGGTTTTGTGATAGTGTTAAGCTTACTTGCCTGGTGTCCTCACGCAGGCGTTTGTTCATGTAGTGATGTACCCATATGTGTGCTTAGTTGGGTAGGTACTCGCGTTCCCGCTGGTTGTACGATGCTCCGTGTCATAGTATAATGACTATGACAGTAGCCCCTAAACTTCCTGTAGGTTGTTTATGTCTTTTCTTTATTATTTTGGGTCACTACGGCTTCATCGACGACATTTTGTCACACTGAGAACTGGGCTCAGTCAATTTTTGCCCTAGCGCTTTCAGATTGTTTTCATCCCAATTTTCACAATTTGTAGTTCCATGCAGCTACCTTAAACAGGTTTGTGGGGCGAATGCGCTACAGTGACACGGGAAACGGACGGTCAGTGAGTCATGCCATTGAATTTTAAATCACAAACGCCATGCTAAATTTAGCAAAACAAGTTATTTTTTTTGCAAGAACCCTTCACTTTTTATTGAAGTTGCATTAATTTACTGCATAGCCCAATTTTAGCATATTGCACACTTTTGCAACAAGAACTGGAACTAGCAAGGCAAAAAATGCGTACAAATCCTGTCGAAATTTTTGGAAGTAGCATTGACGTTTAAATACATAACGATTGTGTGATGTTATGGTGACACAACTGTGCCCTGCATGAACCCTTTACTGTTCACTCGAATTAGCGTACCATTTAGACTAGAATAAATGTTTATCCGATCTGTAGTTATATTAAGTTGAGTTAGGTTACTATCCAATTCTGTGATATAATATTTCCTCTTCTGAGATGTCTTTGGAAAGGTTAAAGGGCCCTCATTATTCATTTAGTTACATTTATTTTGCTAATTCTATATTCGGCCCTCCGACCTTTGTATAGGATGAGTGATCATATAATTACATTTTGTTTCCTTTGAACATTAAAACAATATTTATAAACACAAGTCTGCCTTTGCATTTAGATCATCAAATTTAATCGATTCTGAAAGCACGTGGTCTGTCGAAGCTTGCGTGAAGTGCCACGTGCCAGTTTTTGGACTTTTGCACCCCTTGTATATCGATTCTACAATTTTTAAAACATTTGAAATCTCATATTTAGCAGACCCCTTTCATCCCGCCATAACTAGTTGAAACAATGCTACCGAATCAAAGGATCATCCAATCCTAAATTTCCCCCTGCAGTTTCTACCAAGACTGGTTCAAAAAGACACGCAATGGTGCTGCAAATACTTTAAAACGTGGACTTTGAAAACGTTAAAAGTGTGTTTTAGCAAACAAATAAGTTATTATAGGCCAGCTCCTTATTTGGCATTTTAGTAAGCATTATTTAAACTGCCATCAAGCTTTTTGAACGAACTAATTATTGCGAATGAACAAAATTGGCTTATTTTGCAACACTGATTGTCTCATTAAGTCATCCATTTTACGTCACTTTCAATTTTTGAATTTTTGGAGGACTGAAAATGAATACAAGTGACCGGGAATCTCTACACCCAACTGTTAAGCTTCTTCGAGGTAAGACTTTCCTGCTTACTGTCCTAATTATACCGCAGTATATTTGCATGACTTTAGGACTAAATAAAATGGAATATTTCACAGGTATTTGAATGCATTAAAGTAGTCCATAGTTGAGGGTCTAATTCGTTGCATTTTTTCCACTTCTCTGTCAAAGGAATCTAATCCCTTTTTAGCATTGTGAAAAAAAATTATAATTCGTTGATGATATATACAATCCAACCATTATCGCCGTCCTTATTCTGTTGTGCAATAAGTGTTGTCAGCGATTCCGTGAATCCCTCATTTCAGTGACCATGATGTAAAGTTGTATTGAATGTTTTCATTTAGTAACAGGAGAATTTGTTAGAAGAAGCCAGTCAACAGGAAGCTTCTATCAGAATCACAGCGATCTTCCACCCCGATATCATCAAAACCGCCGAAGTCGCTCAGCCAATTCCGTGTTGCATCTCCCACTCCAGGCTCCTCCTCACAATGCCTCTTCCTTTAAACCAAATTCAGATTTGTTGCAGGAGGTGAAGTAAAGATTGTTTCGTTGAATTAGTAGTATATGCATCCAGGATTACACAACCTTGTTGTCTGTAGCAGAATTACTCAGCTCAGGATGGCGGAAGTGAAGTCTACGGCGTGCGACTTCTACGAGTTAGTTTTTCTGTTTTGTTCCCACAATTTTATTCCATAATCTGACGCACAAAGGGTACAATTTAAACGACGAAGTTTTTGCTTCAAATATGTAGATAGTTAAACTCTTATCCGCAAACTAGTTGCAGTGCAGCATTTTGAGTCGCTTCTGAAGTCCTAATGGTACTGATAATTTGCAGAAGGACTGAGTAGCTTCAGGGATGACCAGAGGGCTACACGATTTTTGAAACTATTCAATGATACGGAGTATTCTGATCGTAGCAATTTCCCGCTTTGGGGCTGACAAAGTTTTAGTTTACGTGGCTAGTAACCGTGACTTCAGAATGTTAATTTTTTTCAATTTTCGATGTCACTGAGAATGCAAGTGACAAGCTAACATCCAAGCTTTCTTCAGGAAGCGCTAGGGAGAAAGAAGCAGAGTGCCACTAATTGGCATGTCAAACACATCAGGTCGTGGTCACTACTGCCATTTTTGATAAGTCAGAACTTTGGCCTTCTTGTGGGATGACTGAGTGGAAAATTATTCGTGTTTTTAGGTAACCCCCGAATCGGAATTTCCAATGACTTTTCGAGGTTCTGAGGTCACTCCACAGCAATCACCGCTCTTGCAACTCGAGCCTCCACAAAGGCTTGACCCACCAAACTTTCACCTGGTAAGATCTGTACCACTCGAAAGGATTCCACATTGCATTCCCATTTAGAGACGAATGGAGCAGCTGTACAAGGCAAAGATCGCACGCGTGAATGAGGAGCTACGTTTTTTCAGGTAATTATTTTGGTTAAGGAAGTACCTTTTTTTCATCCAATAATAAAGTAATTTAATTTTCATCGATATCTTCGCACCGACTTTAATAAAGGTTTTAATTAAGGCAAAATGTTTTAAAGTTGACAGTTGACAGTCTTCCCTGAAATCTAATGAAGGCATAATACTAGGGCAGAATGTGTATTACCAATGTAAGGAAGAGCTGAGGGGCTACTGGCATGACTCGAAGGCCATACCACCCATCGCGATTACGATGGTGGGGTCTTATATGCCCACGAAACCAAAATAAACAGTTGAGCTAATTAACAAAGTATTACACAGGTCCCTTTCTCCTTTTAAACGTCGTCTTTGACTCTCCCCTCGGTCAGTCTTCGTGTTGGCCATCACAACGTAGTCGATGCTGTGATGATAACACCTACGAACCAACTGCACCAGTTATAGAATTTGCGTTCAGCTGAAGAGGTGTCTGACCACAACGTCACTAGTGTCTCTTGACAATTCCACTGGATCTTCAGTTTCGTCCTATTTGGAAACTGCTGGCCTTTATGCGTGTCCATCGCTAGGCATAAGGACACTGATCTAAAAACAGTCAGTTGATAAAGGGTAGAGTTGGGAATATTTTTTGGGGGATTAGATTTCACACCCAGTCATCCTTGTCACTTTGTTCTCACTACAGTGACGTCCAGCCATATCCATCCATCCGGGGCCTACACAGCCAGCGGACAGGTGGAGGAGGTATCGCATGATTGCTCAATTGACATCCCCACAGAGGTACCTTAGGCGACTCTCTAACAAACTCTTCCAGATGGTTTACAGCCACAGCTAGTTTTGTTTCAGTTCTTAACGAGACTCCGGTAGACCACGGAACTGGGGTATTTGCCGAAGACAGACATCATTTTCAGACCTTCTGTTAGGGGCCATCACTGATTCCCCCATTTGCAGCATATACCCCTCTCTCGTCATGCTAAGATTTAGAAATCAAGGTGGTTGTCCTTTAGGACCGGGTTCACTTTCCACTGTCACCAACATATCATCCCAAGTCTTCCCTGAAGACGTGAGAAGACATGGTACTAGAGCAGAATATGTACTGTCGATGCACAGAAAGGCTGGAAGGAGGTGGCCATGGTATGGTTTAGAGACTATGTGCCTTGTGGAAGTGCATAGGCAGAGTGCTGAATGCCTGCTAGACCTTGAAGAACAGTTAAACAGATAATTAGCATAGCATTTACTAGCCATAGGGGTTTACAATGCAACAGGTAATGAGGTGTTGGCGATTCTAGTTATTTATCACAATAAAACTATGCATCACGGATGAGTATTCTTTACACAAAAGGCCTTGGTGCCTTTTCATATCGGCGGCATGGCATAGTGGTGTTGGTCCATATCAGTCTGGAAGCAAAATGCCTAAGGGAACATTCGTGTAGGTAGTGACATGATCAGGGCATCATGCTATCGTAGTGGAGGTCACTTCGACGTTGGGAATCCACATACGGTCCTTCTTTTCTATTCTCTGCTAGTGATAGATGGCTTCTCGTCAAACTGTAAAACATACAATTATTTACGAAACGGCTAATTCCTAATCAAATCTTAAAGGTTTGTTCCTAAGAGGTCCATTTTTATTGCCCGAATTCATCCCTCCCTAAAAATGTTAAATTAACAAGCGGTGCAGAACGAGAGTTTGTCACAATTCATTGTCATGACATGGATGCACAAAGGAATCCCTACTCCATCTAATTTATCCTTATTTGTGTGCACATTTTAGAGCAGCTGCGAAGAGGCAAGGCCACTACGAGTTGTCAAAATCCCTTCCTGATGTCTCAATGACTGGCGAGGTCTCAGCTCTCAAACTCACTATTGCTCAGTTGGAAAGGTGAGAGGTCATGAGGTAAAAAACAAGTTTATTCTCCTTCCTCAACGAGTCGATCTAAGACTGAATTGTGCACCCTCACCAAATGTCTGAGAGGTGTGGGTTGGATTATGGGCATTTCATTTGCAACACCAAACTACAAAATGTCAGTTTTAACGAACTTAAATGGATGGCATTCAAGGAAAACTCGTTTGCTCGGTAGCTTACACCACTACTTTTCCTTCTCATTTGGAGAAAATGCAAACAAACTGTTTCATGACTGTCTATCTCGAATCGTCAATGGGAATAGGCAATTTTCTTATTATTCATATTTAAAGATGGAAAGCCTTCGTGAATGCGGTACTAACCTGTCTTTAAGTGACCCATCGCTAAAATCAAGTTATTTTTTTGAACCATTTCCCCGGAGGTTGCGCTCTAATCTCGTATTCTTCTACTATTCCTTCTTTAAATGCAAAACAACAGATTTGACGTGAGGCTTCTGTAGCTCTTCAATCAACTTAAACTCGGTTCGTACAGCTGAAAGGTTCAAAATCAAATCAGTCGAGTTCAAGTGACATTCTGTTAAATGAAATGAGGCTACAAAGTAGTGGAAAAAGTGGCAGAGAGCACAAGTGAGGACTGCCGTGTCAATGCGATGGACTGATGCGTACCCACCAATGGAGCAGTGAAGTGAGCTGCACTGAAAACTACAGGAATGTCTTAGGTCGATCAAGTCAAAGTGTTTCAAAATTTACTAAAAACCGAGTTTTTATTTGGTGTTATAAAGACTTTAATCTATTCGCAAAACTTTAAGCACTTTTTAAGTATTTCTTGCCTATTCTTCAGAGAGCAAATAGATCTTCTACGACTAGTCCTCCACTTGCGTGGTCGCTTGAAGCAGGTTTCCAAGGAGAACGTCGAATTGGCCTCCAAGGCGGTTGAGGCGAGTGAAGCTGCGGAAACATCGAAACGTCAACTGGCAATGGTGTGTAAATTATCCGGAAAATTCATACTTTCAGATTTTTAAAGCCGGGATTATCACCTACCTTCCAGAAAAAGCGACTGAAATCGTCATTTGATAAAATTCATTACCTTTGGCTACATCCTCAAGTTATTTGACAAAATCTGGTCATTTTAGTCTTGCTGTTTACTCGCCTGAAATGAGTGGTAAATGGAGAGGCTCAGACTTTGTGCAACCTTTTATCCAAAAGATAATCAAATTTTCGAGCATTTTAACTGTTATTGGCTCAGGAAAGTACATCCCAAAGCCTGAATGTGTGGAGAGATGTCTGCCACCAAATGAAGTTTGCAAGGGGATCGATAGGGATCGGTCATCCCCATTTCTCCGACATCTACTTTTCACCTTTCATCCACAAATAATGCAGTTCTGATCAGTTACGTCGTCTCCTTGACTCTGGACCAAGTAATAGCAGAATATTTTACTACTACTAATTCACTCATTGGAAGTGAGACTGGTGGATCGACTTCGATTGAATCTCTTAGTGATCCTTCTCAGTCCTAGTCCATATCTCCCATACGATATGACTCACTAAGCACTTCAATTCATCGGTTCATCCTTAATCCATTCCTCACAAAACACTCATAGGCAGATGCGGCCCGCGGCAGAGCTGTAGAGGAGATGGAATCACTAAAAACCCGCTTTGCAGACGCTCTACGAGATCATGAGCTTCAGCAAAGAGCAGCTCTGAGTAACACCCTCAACAAATCAGATACGCGTTTGGAAGTTATCAAGGCCAGTCTCCTGTTGGCCGAGAAGAAGACGGCTGAGGCGAGTGCCAGAGCCTCCCATGTGGAAGCACAGTTGACAGATCTTACGAATAGATTGCAAGCTTCAGAGGCAGAGAATAAGTGTCTTCGGGAGGAGAATAGGAGGCTCATAGAGGAATCGAAAAAATCCCTTGCGAGCGCGAATATTCAATCGTAAGGTTTTGACTATGCTATGAATTTCTATTGAGCACATTTAGGGAAAGGGCGTTGAAAAAGTTGACACATTTCCAAGAACAGGCCAATCTAGATGAAGATGCGATGAGGAACTCGATCAGCATGCTCAGGTCCCAACTGCATGAAGCTTTAGAGCGGGCGGAAAAGTCGCAGACCGAACTGATATTAGCCAATGAGGCCCAGGTCCGTCTGTTGTCACGAAGCAACGCCCTAGAACAGAGGGTATGTTGTTTCCAAATCACGGCGAGAGGTCGTGAGTTTGGAACGTCTTGCAATGTTAAAATCCAATTGATGTGTCGTAGAAGCAGGATGAATAACTCTAAACGAAATAAATTTATTTCACTTCAAACCCACTAGTCGCCTCCCCTTGTAGTTGCAACAGGTAGAGAGTGACCTTGCAACTGCAAATGCCTGCCACGAAGAGGAGATGAGGGAAGTCAAGGACACGGCAGAGGCAGGAGAGGCCCGCCTCAGGTCAGCACTGGAACAATTGACTCACCTCTACGAGACAAGGATGAGCCACGCTGAGGACCTATTCAATCAGCAGCATCGACTACTCAAAAAACTACGCGAGGAGTGTAGATACAATGTAGAGGTGAGGTTGGTAGTTTAGTCTGAAATTAAAGCCTCGGGCCCGAGGGGTAACAGGGGATAAAAGTAGGATTTTTTGAAAATCCGGCTAACTGAAGATAGTTGAAGTAGCAATTCTGATAAATTTCATTATTTACCGAGGCCGTGAACTACGTAACTTTCTTTAGGTTGGCCGGGAACCAACAAAAAATTAAGTTTTGAATGCTTGCTTACTACCAAGATGGTAACAGGGGTGTAGGTCGTGTGCGATATGGCCGATTTACACAACCAACCGCTCATTTCACTTAGGCATTTGACTTGACGGTATCGCAGATGGATAGGAGGCAGCAGCTTCTCCTAAATGAAGCTCAAGAAGCGAGGGAAATTGCAGCGTTGAATGAAGAAGAGCGTGATCGTCTTCACAATGAAACAGTGGAACATCTTACGCAAGCCGATTGCCTGGCTAGACAAGTCTCACAGCTGGAACAGACGCTGTCAGATAAAAACAGCGAGGTAAGCAGACAATCTCATGCCGTTAACCTTGCTTTTGTGGTGTTTTAGATAGGCCAACTTAATGATAAACATCAAAAGCTTGTGAGGGATGCCAGGGTGTTGGCGAAGGAAGTTAAGTACCTCCAAAATCAACTGTCACAATATGTCCCGGAGAAGGAAAAAAATCTTTTTGACAGATGCATTATCGGATCCCATGAGGTGCAGAAAGTGATTGCAAGAGTCGAGAAATTTCCTACCTGAATGAATGTGTAAATAGCAAAACGATCCCTTCCATTTTGTATTAAATAAACTACAAAAGCAAATTGTGCATTTTTGAGTTATTAAGGCAATGTGTGGAGTGACGTACCAATTCCCCCTCGTAACACTGGCAGGGAATACCCGCCATCCAGGCGGGTGACCAAAGCTTTGGCTGCCTTGTATTATGTCTCAACACTAGTTTCTAGGATAGGAACGAACAGCTGTGATGGGATGACCTACCTATTACGAAATATGACATAATCTTAACTTATTCTTGTACAACTAGGGGTAAGCAACTGCAAATTACTTTCTGAAATCTGGCCAAAATAACTTTTTGAATAATACTGTAGCACCCTGAGACTTTCTTGAAGACGAAAGAAGACATAACTCTGGGGCAGAATATGCATATTCGACATACAGAAGGTACTTGGGCTACTGGCATGACTCGGATGCAGGCCCACTCAGCGAGATACGATAGTCAAGTCAATAATGGCTCCTTACCAAAACTGACCGTCGAACAAACAACAAGCGTATTACAATACCGCTAATAAAAGGGTATATTGTGTTTCCGAAAAAGAGTGAGTGATTATCAATGTGTGAAAATTTGCTGCACACAATGTTGATGAGTATATAGGTTTCAGATGCAAAAGGGAAAACTGGTGCTCCATAAACCCACCAATTCACTATACAAGAGACGCTACAGTCTAACTGAAATTCCTTATCTAACCTCAAATCATTGTCGGATCTTTTGTTTTGACGTATCACAGGCCGTTGCTCAGCCCTCTAATTGGTCCGTTCTTTGGCCGTACCTTTGAGTTTGTCTCGCTACTGACCTCTGAGGCGCTATTTTTTGGATTCTTTCTCATATCGTGGTGTCTAATCCGTTTTGTTTCTAGCATTTTTCCAAGCTGGATGTTCTCAAATGGGGTTTTTCTACTTCTTTAATTGTATGGCTCTCGCTGGTGGACCTCATGTCCTTGCTTACAGAGCTGCTGGATTGTATGCTTCAATTTTACCAAAATTAATGCTCCCTTCAGAAAAGAGCACGATGCATTTTGGCGATGCATCCAGGTCATACTTATATACGGGGTTTTTCAACTGGCAAGGATGTTCCTGGCAACATTGGTATATTTCAACTTTGATACGCTGTCACCCGCTGGCCTATTTAATTACGTAAGCGTATAGTTATAGGATAAATCCATAGCTCTTTTAGGAACTGCTGGGAGTTTTGATTAATTTGCTTGCCGTTCGTTTCACGTATTCTCGTATGTTTGGTCGAAGCGAAATCGCTGTTTTTCTCGGATGCATTGGCTGGTCATATGGAGACTTGATTTTCACAAAGTAGGTTTTCTTTATCAAATGGAGCTTTTTTTATAGAATTGTTCCTATCTGGACTGGAACCCGTCTTCTGGAGTTCGATTGGGCTTATATTGCCTTGAGTCTGGACGCCAATTTCGAGCTGGTAGGATAGAATCGCTGCAATACAATCTGCCACCTAGATTTTTAACTTTGTCATTTTTCTGACACCGTGGTTACTGATGCGCAAGGGGCGAAATGTTCTGGCCACTTGCGTCTCAGTTATTATCTTCATCGTCGCTTGCTTTCATCTCTCCATTTTTGGGTAGGTTTCTCGCCTTTCTTGCATAATTCTCTCAGGCTCATCGAACAACAGACCGAAAACCTTTTCTACGTTATCGTAGTAAAGTTGCTTTTTACGCTCTCGGTGGGCTTCGTTGGTCTCCTGTTGAAGATCACCTGGACCACTGAAGCCTCGTACGAGTCAAAAAAGCAGTCGGACGACCCTCTATCTCTATTCAAGCACATCAATAAATGGGGCACCCTCCGTCTACAAACTCTTCGCAACGCACTGACGAATGCAAGTACTCAACGCACCACACTGGGACGCAGAAATGGCTAAGTTCCTCTGTAGAATCGTCTCAGGCTTGGTGCATTCCGCATCGCCCATTTTTTCACGAAGACCTAATCTTTTATGATGTGTATGCAATTCGCAGAAATATATTCCTTGGTTCGAATTAAGTGACACTTCAAGGATCTTGGACAATATTTGAAAACCTGAAGAAAACAAGCCATTTCACTTTTGAGAATGGGCTATATGATATCCTTTCCAATGAGAGCAAATGGGATAGAATCAGATGAGCAGGATAGCAAAGTTCCTCCGATTCCCCATTGCTGTCTGACATTTCACGGTTTGATCGAATTTTCAGCCAAATTTTAGAAATCGCATTTCTTCTCGACATAATGCATCTGTAATTAATTTTACCCCCTGGATACCTCTAGGACAAGGATTCCACAGTGGTACACATAAACATCAAATGAGCTGAAATCCTCCAAAACGTTGCTAAGCTGTTCCTTGCTTAGTAGTTTGTAAGCCTCGGATTTCTTTAACCTCCGATGAAAGTAGTCGTATGTATTCCACGCCCGACACGTTGGCTAACATCTCTTAATTTTTCCTGAAAGTTGGCTGAGCATTTGAAGGACTTGGCTGCTAATTCAAGCGATAGCTACTTAAAGGGTGTCTACTACTAACCTGCTTTTCCGATTTCATAAGGAGGAGGCAGCATGACTGCCTTCAATTTAGTGACTATCCTTCCAATATAGCTAGGCATTCCCGTCCCAGATACCATGAGCTCTTAAAAGGCTTTTGGTTCATTTACTCTATGTTCAGAAAAGTGGGATTAAAAATCAAGTCAAAGTTACAAAAAATTAAACGCCAAAGTATCACAATGCTGCTCAGTTCCGAGGCACGTACTCCGCCCATTGGTTTGTCTAAATGAAGGGAGAGGCGAGGATGAAGAATGTGCACCAACCCACCGGCTTGCCTAAGTATGTTTGACCGATCTTAAACTCCTCTTTACTACTCGGAGTTCGCGAAAGCAGGATTCGTAGTCCTGCAACATCACGTCGACGAATGAAGTGCTGGGAAGGCAGAAAAAAGGTGTAATTGGGGCTATGCTTAGGAAAAAGGGAGTTGGAATAATTTTTGTTTTTGCTATGTAGTCTTCCGATACTGAGCTTTTTGTGTGTTTCTATCGAGGCACCTTGCAGGGAAGTCCAGCACAATAACCCACCTCTAGACCAAGATCATAGAGACCAAGACGCACGACCAGATCAATCAGGCTCTCCGAATCTGGCATGTACTGCAGGAATCTGCGTGTGACCTTTAAGTGGGGAGAGGAAAAGAAGACAACTTACTTTTGGTGCAAATTGCAACTAGGCTGTCAGAGAGGGATGTACGTACGTCTTTGGGTGCCTTTGTCGAATGGAGAAAGAGAATAAGACGATCAATTGGCAGCGACGGTGACGGCTTTCGCGTTAGCCATTTCTGGAAGGGCAAGAGGACAGATAATGAATTTGTACGAAAAACATTGCGGACTTCACTCCGAAAGTTCACGACGTTGTCTGTTTATGATCGTATTTCAAGCTACCTCTATAAATCCGTGGGATGATGCGTTTTGTCTTTGAGTATGAGTTGCGTTGTGCAAGAACCAACCCGTCACTACAAATGCTTCAACACATGAGCCAAATAAGTCTTGAAAATTTGAGGCATCGTTTTTTGTCAAACTTGGGAAAAAATACTTTGAAATGAGCTGAGACTGACTCAGATGGTATTGAGCCGGAATGACCTCCAGTAAAGGTGTCTGGATTTGAGCAACGTTGGTAATGCAGCGATATCAGACCACCTATATGCAGATAACCCGAGCGGACCACGGTGAATGAGTTGGAGGTGTCGTTTTTACATCAACACGCCATTTGAAATTGAGTGCAAAGCCTTTTCGAGGGCCATTCGACCAAGCTCATTGCGATGATTTAAGGTACTTTTGTCAGTCAAGTTGCAAAAAAACTTCGGAACGGGGTGAATGGTTAGGAACTGAAACCAGCTATGCCACCATCATTGTGTAATTGGGTGATACAACACTGGTTCTTTGTGCAAATTTTTCGACTAAGTCAGTTGAGTTAGCCCGACTTAAGGCCTACTTGGAGGTCAGATTCTCAACTGATTTCACACATTAAAGCCGCATGAACTCCAGGCGATCGGATACCATGGCCAAACGTCCATTGCAACCAACTAATTGGATGTGAAATCCACCCACAAGGAAATTTGCGATTCCTGTCTAGGGTTCACTGTTAAGCGGAAACTCAGCTAATTAGCTGATACAAAAATTAGGCGAAAATGAACAAACCTTTTCCAGCAGCAGCAGATCGATCTGCATCCACAGTTCCATGCGAATGAGGGGTTCAAGAACCAACCACCGAAAGTGTTCATCTGACATCTGAGAGGACAAAAATGGGGAGCCAGGCTTTTAACAAAACTTCATTCATGACCATCACCCTGTTCCCATAATTCCTAATATGAATGAGAATTCCTCTTCTGAAGAACGGTTAGGCCGTGTTTTTGGTTTTTCTTAATTTACGAAAAGTACCCTAAATTGCCTGATTATGGATTTCATACATGAAATATTTTTAGATCCAAGCACATCAATGAAAGTATTGAAACATTTTGTCTTATTTGGTCAGCGAAGAATGAGGAAGCGAGATGGAATTGTAAAGGAACAGGAAATGGACCACGACCAGAATGAGGTAGTGATCATGAGAATTCAGTGTCTGATTACATCAAGGTAAGAGAATAAGCTCGTGCAGTGGTTACAGAAGGTTTCTTGACATAGCTTCTTCATTGAATTAATAACCATTATAGTCTGTTACTCCCTCCCTGGCTTTGAATGTTTCTAAAAGTTTTTATTTGCACACCTAGTCGTAGGAAAGCCTCAGCCTTAACTGTTTGACTTTAAGCAAAAAAATCCCGACTGAACAGGTGAGCCTGCAGTGTATCATACACGAAATAAGTATGAACTTGAAGGGATGGAGTGGCACTTGTCTGAGAATCAAGACGTATTCCGTGAGTGGATTGTGTGGAAACAGCCAGCAACGTTTTCGTTAGCTTAATGCTGCACTGCGAAGGCCATTTCTCAGCACAAGTCAGCTAACAACCAGAAATGGACGATGCATTCGCATAAGGTACGTGAAATAAGTCAAAGACAAGTTGATAATATTTTCAACTTATTATCATCTGTGAATGAATGGAATTTCTGAGGGATCCATTGGCTTAGTAGCTTCCACTGAAGCTTTTCCTCTCGCGGTCGAAGTACAAACGAATCATTTCGTCACTTGTGCTAAACATAGCTGAATTCGTTTAAGAATCTAATCTTGGATTATTTGAATATCTCGATAGCGATAAGTAATTCCTCATTATCTATGATGAAAAGGAGAGAACGTCCCTGAATATGATGCATCTGACGTTGAGTAATTCGCCACCAGAATTAAATGGTTTATTCGAACTACTTCTGGGTGGTATGCTCTGCTACCGCACCTTCCTCAGATGCTATGCAAAGGTACAAGACGATACGTTCGAAGTACATCCATCAGGTCTGATTGACATTTGATGGGCCAAGACACCATTAACGAAGTCTAATCAAGCCATCTTAATGAAAACCCAAAACTTAAACAAGGAGAGAACAATAACCTCACGCTTCTTGGCCCTCTAATGCCCACAGGATTTAAAGAACTGGAGCTCCTTGAAGACTCACCTTGTGCGTTGTTTTAAGCTGCTCAGCACGACTACCTTTGGACACATTTTTGTCCATCAAAACGCAGGCGAGAATCGTGTTTGCCAGGTTCTGTCCCACAATTGATCCCTCCAGCTCACTCAGCATCGATTTCGCCGGTCCTTCTGGCGGCTGACCGAGAAATGCAGCCCATTCCGACCTCTAAAATTGTGATGATGACAGGAGAAAATCATACGATTTTCAATTGAAATTTCAACAACTCTGCGGCGTTTGTAATCGACTCGTGCATTAGAGCGAGAGAAGGCGCAGATTTTAGTTCAGTCCTGCCAAGAGGGGTAAACTAACTACCAGGTCCTACGCAGCAAAGAGATGCAACTGATGCATGGCTTTTTCCGCCTCTTCGGCGCTTCCTGTTTGAATGGCTTCCATACGGCTTTTAAAAGTGGAGATCTGAAAGATGATTCGGAAATTACCACAGAAACATTTACTTTTGAATCCTCCAAAGCGCCATGAGCACTAGATAGAAATAAATTAGATGAAAAACAATCAGACTTACAGCATCAGTTCATCCGCCTCCGACGTCTGGGAAGCTTCGGTAAGGAAATTCAAGTAATGCTTGTAGCCGAGTTCGTTTTCGAGAAGAAGGGAGAAGAAAAGATCTTGATCAAGTCGTGATCGTATGATTAGGATCACCTTTATTAGGAAATCTCCATCTAATGTTTCTGCGGCTAGTTGGATGAGCATACGTTTAGCTCCTAAGGAAACAAACATATCGATTGGCCAAGAGCTTATTCCACCACTTCTCAGATCAGATAAGGAGGAGCGCAAGCAGTCAATCCAACAGCCCTGTTTGATAAAAGTTTTAAAACAAAACTAAAAAGCCGTTTACTTCTGAACAAAATGCAGACTTGTCCTCATATTTAACAACATTACTGAGGCGTTGGTTGCAGAATGAACAATCCTCACTAGCAAGGCCTACAACAGTGTTGACTGCAGCTTTAATTACTCGGAACAAAAGCTGATTCTACAGCGTTTCCACTGATGTTCTTTGCAAGGGCATCTTTAGAATAAGGATAAAATAAACCACATTGTCTTACCAGAGTATATTTGACTGTCTTTCGTTTCTATATCCTAATAAACCTCAATCATGCCACGAAAGAAACTGTTACATCAAAACTGAAACCCTGGACGTCGCTTTCGTCCCAAATGTTGGACTCAGTATCATCCAATGAACCCATTTAGCTGTGACTGCTGGGGTCGGCTCGACAAATTATCAAGTTTAACTTGGCTAAACACCATTAATAGAAATGTGAAGGCTGCGAATGAAGGTATACCTTCTTGGGAAAAAACAATCTGGTAAATACCAAACATTCAGGCATAAGTTTATTGACGCACAAACACTGGGCAAGAGTCCAGTAAATGATTAAAGCGTGATAGGTAAAATACTTTTACTTTCGGGTGTGTGCTCATTAATAATGCTCTAAATCTGTGATTAACTCAGTGTTTAAAAAACCAAAATTCCTTGCATGATTTACACCTAGGGTGCCTGTGATAAAGTTTTTAGTGGTTTTTTCACCTACAAAAGGTACAAAACATTAATATACTTAGTGCTTTAGTAAGACGCAAATGGTATACGATGAAACTGACAATAATACAGCGATTTGATAGTGAGTAATACAAATCTTGATCCAGCGCATGTTTTCGGTGCAAAGCTTTTGTAATAAACGAGTAGTCAGACTGCTCCAAAGTAGGGTAGAGGTCGAATCGCATACATTTCTTAGCCGATCCCTCATTATAATAATTATTGACAAATATTCCCTTATCACACCATTCTGTAAGTTCAAAGGGGCTTAGAATTAAGAAGGATAGGATAAAGGGCGGATTTGCTTAACTTCGTTTGCTGCTGATTGCCTGCTCGCTTTCCGACATGATCCTCAGCCGGTGTTCCTCGGTAACGCTTTGGCTTGTTATGACCTCGGGAACACTCAAGACACTGCAATCAAATAGCATTAGGAAGTTGGCTGTGCAACTTTTGACATTCCCATCGTCTGACTTGGGCTTCAGACCTTTGGATGGTGAAGTTTCCGTAGCGTAGAACTTATTATGCGCAAGTAGCATGAGGAGGGATTACGAATTATCCAAGTTTGCTGAACACCAAATTTTGTTTCACCCATGAGAATCAAATATATCCTTTAGGCTGCGAGGTTGTCGTAGATAAAATATTATGCGCTGACTATATTTTTAACCCTCAATCCTGGTAAAGTTACGCCGCCATTGGCATTGGGCCATGGCATCAACTGCAAGGCGATTCTGAACATATAACAACTCTCAGTGTTTTGGCTTCTTCGCCTATAGTGACTTTTACACCGTTTCTTCTCCTACTATCGTCTCCTTTCCTTTTGTTGAGCCTAGTTTTGCAGATGATTAAGCGATCCGCATCGGAAGGCAAAGGATTGTGAACAGCCTGTTTATTACCAATCTAACTGTGTTGGAGGCAAAAGAGAGTTGGACCGACGTTTCAGGGTTGTTGGAATGAATGGGAGCTGTATGAGAGCAAAGAGGATAGGTAAAGAGAGGATGGACCTGATTATAAAGTATTGCGTAGTAGGTCACGATATAAGCTGAGATCATAGGCCTGTTGCGGCTGTTGTAGCGCAAGGCCGAAGCAGCTTCCAACGTTTCTTGGTCGCGGACTTTACCAGTTTGCCAAAAGAGATGGTACTCGTGCAGTGTAGCTTCTAGAACATATTGAGAAGGATATTTCTAGTAATAATACTTAGAGTATAGAACGAAGTTAAGAGTATGCACATTTAAGACTATTATTTATCTTCAGAGCTTGGATGACTCCACCGTTGCAAGATATGTACTTGCCGAACGATTTCCAACCCAAAATATGTGTAAACACACAATACAGAAAATGCATAACAATGCGTAAAGTGCAGCATGAAACGAAATAGTGGTAAAATGATGGTGCTTAAGTTTTCTTTGCTCTAGAGAATTGCTTTTGGCACAAGGTCGACGGTAAGGCTACCTGTATAGATAATAGTTCCCAATTTTCTGCACTATTTTTCCATACATTCATGTTAGAAATCATCCAATTAGAATTTTTATTTCATTTTTGCTTTTCGTACAAAATTATCCTCCAAAACTATAGAATCTGTTAAACGTAAAATACGAAAGCCATTGCATCACTGTTTAAGGGACCACTATTGGTAGAACTAGCCCTAAGTATATGCTGTCAATGTTTGTTTAGGACTGAGCTTAAGTAATGGTGCATACATAACGCAACTAGGTCTGAAATGTAGATTAATATGCTTGAGCTGTTTAGGAGCATATTATTGACGTTGAATCATCATTTAAAAACATCTACAACAATAATTGCTCACAAAATTTTTTAGTTTCGTCTTTTGTGCAAGTTTTTTAGTGTTTTTATTGTCCAAAAATAGAGTAAGTAGTTACGTCACCTGCACTTGTTTTAGTTTATCACTTGTTATCAAGTACAGCCAGCCAAAAACATTTTGCGTAATTGAGATGACTTTGAATTCCCGAGGGACATCGCGTTAGGTGGGTAAAAAGTACCCCATTATTATTCCTTTTTATGCCATCGCTTTTTAATTCTATGTCAAATTGCGTTTTCCGTTGAACGCATTTGATTTAGCTTTACGGTTTCTTGGCTTCATGTCATTATTAGTGCATTCATCATTTTACTTCAAGTCATTCATATCTTACAACCCATACTACAAAAACTCGTTTAAATTTTTTTAAATTGACGTTTGCAATTTTTTGCTTGGCAATCTAAAGTATAAAAAGTTTTTTCATAACCGACGTTACCAAATTTATTCATATTGGTGGTTTAATTATCTTGTTCTTATTTTATTTCATTTTTTTTGAAAAGAGTACTTAAATCTACGACATTTATTAGAGTAATTTAAAATACACCTGCTATAGCGTTGGTCTTAAATTCACTTCTTTGTAATTGAATTCTTGATCATGAACAATGTTTTTGTCTAGTTTATCTCCGGGAATAAAACAAATAAGGCTGACACTTAATCCGTCAGCTTCCATGTAGTGTATGGCTCATGTCTGAACGGAATCCCTGGGAGCTCTTACATTACAGACTTAAAAGTACACGGTTAAATTACTCAGGTATTTACCACTCCTACCTATCTTTAGTTGCCGTAGTAGATCCCCCCATACTCACTAACCTCTCCCTCAAAAAACGTTTTCCCGGCAAATCAGACGCCATAGCAGAGTTAATCTTGTGCACTCTCTGCAACTCAATCATCCTTCTAAGTCGGATTGCTGAACACTTCCGTAAGTTACTTTTCATTTTTTTCAACTTAATTCATGTCCTCTCTCAAGGTGTGCGTCACAAGAAGATCAGTACACCTTCGGCGGATTCATGTCCTGTAGTCTTTACGTCGAATTCGGATTCAGAGTGCAGTCTTTCATCTAAACACTCCAAAGACCTCTTCTCTTACTCCTCAAGCTCTACAAATCTGGGACCCTCTGACACCTATCGACAAGACATGCTGCAAGAGTGCTTTCCACAAAGCTGGAATCACGATGATGATTGTGAACAAACGCCAAGACTCTTTAATGTCTCCGATTCTTTTAAATCCGTCAATAATGTTTCGAATGTTGAGATTCCAGTAGATGTTCCGCCTTCCATTGACGAGGTTGATAATGTCAAAATAGAGGAAGGAAATAATACCTCCACAGCACCAGACTTCTTTGACTTCTACGACATTTTTCCTGACACCTCAGAGCTCTATGATGACACAAATGCCAGTAACAATGGTGTCGCTGCCACCATTACCAACAACAATGACATCAACTTCGCTGACCTAAAGGATTCAAACGTCTACTTTAATGATCTTTTGCATTCCACTCAAGGCGGTGAAATCGGTAAGACCTCTACAGTGGTCCCACACCACGATCAGACAGTCACGCAACCGATGAACACTTACCTCTCAACCCTGAACGAGTCGGAGTCATACCTAACCGTGGGTCGTTCAGAAACTTTTGACTGTCACTCGCACACTCTGGAGACTCCGTCGCCCGATTTTTTCACCCTTCCTTCCGCTTCCTCCTCCTCTACCTATTCAGTGGATTCTAGTGTCTTCAACAACACGGATGCCGCGTCTTCGCAATGTTTAAATACCTGCTTCCCTGACCAGTCTGTATACGCTAAAAACTATGAGATAAAGTCGCCACCTACTGTTATGCCAATCTTGGTGCGGTTTAGCAATACAACTCCTGCACGTATTCATGGTGAAAATGACGTGGAGGTGGAACAGGCCGTCGCATCCATTGTCAATCTAGACGAGCAACCGACAGACAAGAAGATCAGCGAAAATAAGTCAGCACCTGGACAGCCCACGGACGAACAAAAAGTGGATGAGAAGTTGCCAGTTCTCTCTCCGATGGACACTGTAGCCAACGGTCGTCCCCGATCATTCTGCTTCTAATGGCTGGGTAGAGAACACAGCTGTAGGTGGTGGGACGGCTGATATTGACTGGGAGATATGGGATTCGTTGGAGCTGCCCGCTTGTGACTACATCGAGGGAGATACTAGTGAAAGTCTACCATTACTCAAACCGAATGATCTACTTTCCAGTTTAGAACCTTATCTCCCCGAATCCAACGAGTCACAGACACCTTTTGAAATGTCTGTGCCTTTGGAGGCCTGTCAACTTCATCAACAACAACAGCAACAGCGGGAACAGCAACGGGAGCAAACGCAGGTCACACAGACGGTTTTCCCTGTTGAACAATCCGTTGTAGTGGCCGTGACTACTAGCGAGCAGCAGATAGTCAAACCCACACCCTCAGCAACCGATTCAAAGTCCACGAAGGGCGAGAACAGTTCTCGGTCCAGGCGATCTATGGATTCTCTGAATGGCTCCCTTCCGCTGCACTTGTGTAAGTGGGGTGTGTTGTTTTTTATATGCGGGTATATTGCCCTACATCCCTTGTCTCTCTACTTAGATGTCACTAGGGCTTTTGGGTGTGCTAAAATCGACTAAATAACAAAACATCTACTACCTGATACCACTGCTTCTTCTCCAAGTAACATCGGAATACTGTGTTAGGTGAGTACAATATGACCCCTTGGTTGAGGTGATTACTGGGCTAGAAACCGGTTGTGTGAGAGAGAAGGAGAACGCAGAATTTGCCTCGATGACTCATCTTATGTGCCGGAGTGGAGGTTAGAGGAAGGGGGAAGGGAGTACAGCGGTCACGTTAGAAGCAACGGCGCCATAACTTTTGGCTCCATTAACCTTTTCCCTGGAAATACCACCTTTACTCCGCTATAAAACCACCCTTTTGCCTTGCTTCCTGTTGTTCCCTCCCTTAATGATGTCAACAATAATACTATCAACGACAGAAACAGTGGCAGCTGTCAGAAAGTGGATGTCCACTCTGCTGGACCTGTGAATCTCCCAATGTGGGTTTGAGCTGGACCGGTTTACAGACAAGAGAGGCACAAAACGCATTAATCACTAGCTGCGCAGATGGATTATACATTCTCAGTATCCACCCTTTTCTGCCTCTGGGCCAAAAATAACCATTCTGTGAATGCATTTTTAGCTTTACTACCTTGTCTGGGCAAAGTTTGTAGACTTCTCCTCAACTTGGAGTGGGGATGGGGTTGTGAACAACGAGATTGCAATTTTATTGCGTCAGAACGGGATGCATGCCCAGAAATATGACCGAAAAGTGCGCATTCCACTTGACAATTTTTGCGTTTGTGTGACCTCGAAGAAAGAGACTAAAGTTTTTCCGGGTTATATGAGCAAAAAACACTCCCCCCTTTCATTCATCACACCCTGCAGCTTTCGCCTAGTAAATGAGAGCCTCCAGTCGAGATTTTGAGGTAAGCGCTTCTGGTAGATTGGCGGCATACTATAGTAAATGAGCCAATAATTGCCGCGCTCAGGGGAGACAGAGGAGAGCAAAAGAATGAGAGAAAGCAAGAGAAATTAAGCGAACCGCATTATCTTAGATTTATTTTCATGGGCAACACCCATTTTGGGAGTCTATGTATATATACGGGTGGATGCATCTCAAGTAGCTTCTATAATGGCTCTACGGTTCCCACATACACACGCACACAGAGAGACTGGAGACCGGACTCTTTACGAATTATTTATGGGAATTTCTCATTCTTACGCCTTCTCTGGAGGCACGGGTAAATGCAGAAGCCTCATTTTCTCCCCTTTTCTCTCATTTTGGCAAGTTTGCCCCTGTGTTTTAGTTATCAGTTCTAAGCAAGATCTTTTTTCCCACATATAGACAAATATTCTTTCATGAAATGTGATGGGGAGCGGAGAGAGACAAAAAGACTTCCAATGCAAATGTCACTACTGCAAAGTTTTCCACTCTTGGTGGTAGTTTTAACGTCCATCACAAATAAAAATTGCACTTATCATGGCAAAACGTAAACTACATAACTCCACTTGCTCTTGATCCAAAGTTAATTTAAGTGTGAATTCAGTGTGCCATTACACTTTTTAAATAAACAAAATGGCTTTATCCTGTCCACAAATCTTCAAACAACATTTGGGTAGAGTTTAAAGATTGCAAGTGTGGAGACAATGTGAAGGATGAAGGAGATTGAGGAAGGGCTTTACGATCAAGGCTATCAAGCGAGTAGCCCATAGGGTAAAAGTAATCAGGAGAAAAGTTCGTTCAAGGAGCTACTTCTATCAGTCATCGTTCGTTTCCTTTTAATCAAACGTTCTAATCTGACTGATTTGGGGAATTGTTTTAGGGCCCTTCGATCCGCGTCTACATTGTGGTGTTCAACGTGATGGAACGGTGTGTCGACGAAGCCTTCTCTGTAAGGTGAGTTGCGTCCCCTCCCCCTTCGGCCTAAATTACCCAATCCTTGACCTGGAAGTCGGCGCAAGTAAACATTCGTTACTGTATCAACATAAATCATTCACGTGTACCCCAAATAGGTGCTCCGCGTCTAGACAGACAGCCTTTCACCCTCTCCTTCGACATTCAGAATCGGCGAGACCTTAAGGGTTAGCCGTGTGACTCATTATTTTCACCCTGAAACAAAAACAAAAAGGGCTACTAAAAATTTTTGTCTGATAGTTCTTAAAGAATGCTAAATATCCTGCCCCCTTGGTCTGTTTAAAGTCAGGAGGAAGTAATAGCGTTTTTTATGATGCGATGCGGAGTCTTTTCACCTTAAAAGCGTGAAACTAATGCTCAATTTGCAAAGGAAGAGTTACTTTAAATATTTTTAGGGAATAGCGAAATATTATGCAAGATTTAATTGAAGAGAAAGATTTTACTGATGAGACAGGATTGAAAGCTCTCGTGGTAGCTATCGTGATTGGGTAAATCATGAATTCGCTATGCTGATTCGCTGTGAAGAATGAAATGTGGAAAACAGTTGTGTTTATGCAATAAAATCTACATGACGGGAAGCTATTTTAAGCTAGACCATGGCGAGGGAAATGCAGTTGTTCCCTTCCTCCCCTCCCTCCTCCTTCTCCTCCTCTCCCCCCTCATCATCATCATCAATTATAATTAAATTGCAACTACATGAACGGAAAGACGAGGAGAGAGGAGAGAAGAGGAAAGGAATGGAGACAGGGGTGAGGTAGCGGGGTGGGAAGGGAAGAGAAGAGGAAGACGAATTGAACACCAATTCCCTTCTAATGAATTGCGCCTTCTGTAATGGGAAAAATGAATCACAGTTTGACTTTTGCAAGTCTGTCTACGTGTGTGTATGTTACAGGAAGCCGAATGATTCAGTCAATCCTTTGAGTGATTCACTGTACCGCGATCTTAGTCGGTGGGTTGGTTGGTGCAGAGCAGGTATGGTCCAATTTTCCCTCCTTCGTCACCGCTCCGCCCCATATTTCACGCATTTGCAAGCCAGTTGGCGAAGCGTCACGTTTATGGTTGGCGAAAGTAATTATTGCCCTAAAGGCATTCCCCCTCAAAGGATCTGTGGAGCGAATTTTTTCCCCTCTCTCCAGTACAAACCTAATCCTTTGGACGTCTGGCCAACTATGATTAGCTCTGCCTAAGATAGTTTGATGATGAAAGGGGACCTGTGTTGCTTCCTTTTCCATTTGTATTTACTGTAGGCTATAGTAGTTAGTTTTTTACAAGCTTGGGTGAATAACTCCGTTTCATAATCCCTAAATTATTTTCAAAGGTGAAATTCATTTGTCTAGTAGACAAACTTTGGCTTTTAAATTATATTACCAATGGAGTTTCAAGTACTTGCTCCACAAGTTCTCACTTAGATGGTCACTTCCAAGATGGGACAGTACTCAATTTATCCCGTAAGACACCTTAGAGACAGTCGGTCTTCATGTGCTCAAAAAGAGGGATTAGAGCTGAATTCAGGTTACTAACACCGAGGAAATGCTAAAGAAAAAAACTATTTTTATATCATTTCTTAGGAATTTCCCTTCCATACGCCCTTGTAATTATCGACATAAAGCCAATGAGTCCTTTTTCAGCAGCCGACTCAGGCAAGTTAAGCAATTTTCCAGAAAAAAAAGATTTTAACTTGTAGCGCCCTGAGAGTTTCTTGAAGATGAAAGAGGACATAATGACAGGGCAGAATATGTAGTCGATGTAGAGAAGGGCCCGGAGGTCAGATCGCCCGACGGAGGTACATTGGCAAATCCCACAGTGGCCTGTTACCAGAACGGAGAGTTAAACACGCATTTGAAGTATTACAAAATCTTTATTTTAAATAAGAATGTTTGCCCCTTTGTTTTCCTCAAATGGCACAGGTGGGACGCATTTGCGTGGCAGACATGAGATCGAGAGACTTTTTCAGGCATAGTAAAAGAAGAAGGTCCGTCTCAGAATTCTCCTTTCTACAATCAGTTAAGG